CCCAAGGTCTCCAAATGTGCCAAGTCAAGTACAGTACTTTTTCCAAATAACTTCTCTCGGGTCAGATGAATAGAAAACTCATTGGTACCTTCCAATTTAAAAATTCTATGATTCTATGATCTCAAATTTTAGAAATAGATTCAGTTAAAGTTGCATGTGACAAATTAAATTGCCTACTAATGCAAAAGTACAAGAAATATCTTCCTCCCCTCTTGCCCCACCCACTCTCCCTTCTTATGTCCACCAAATCAGGCAGGAACCAGTAAAAGAAAACATAAGCAACAAATGTCCAAACTTGTTAGAGTGTAAGAAAATATATTTATTTACTTTCATGGCAATACTATGGCAAAACTGTTAAATACATGCATATTTTAAAAACAGACATAAGCAACACTTCAAGAGTTAACAGCCAAGCAAACTAGTTTTACATTTACGGTGTCTTAATAATACATGAGTTAATAGTCTATGCCTTTGCTGTAACCATATTTTCCAACATGATACTAAATCTCACTTTTAAAGTGTATACATTATTTCCAAATGCTTGCCTACTAATCAGTCAGATTCTCCTATCCTAACTCTACTTGGTGCAACAACACAGTTCCAGGAAGAAATTCCTATGTTTGTTACTGATAGAAAACAACAGATAAAATTTCAAATTCCCATGTAAAGGGTTCTTCATGGGTTTATTCCATGGCTTCCAGATTGGGTGAATCACTTTAACCCATACTGTTTGCATCCTAAATATTTAAGTTCTGATTTCTTAAAGAGGTTTCTTTTATTATTAAACATACACTTTTAGATACTGCATACTTCACATGTGATCAGATTTAGAGGTAAATCTGGGGTTAGTTATTACATGAATATAAAAGGTATAGTTTTGAAGCTTATGTTTCTCCCAACCTTCTCTCAACTTGTACTCAGAATATCTTTACAGAACAAATTAGTAAACATGATTTATTAAAATATGTAGCAAACTGAAAATGCTTTAACATATTTAACATTCCCTTTAAAAAAGAAACACATATTCTACATACAACCTTACAAAAGACATAAAAACTTAAACCTGTTCACAGTATGTGTGTATTTAGTAAACAGCAATTCAGTATAATGCAATTTTCGAAGTGAGTAAGGGGGATGATTTCCTAGATTTATGAGGACACATGACTTTGATTGTTTAAAGAGAGAGAGAAGTTAAAACAAGCATTTTTTGGTGTTCCTTTTCCAAGAATGGCAAGGATACTGTAAGTTAGACAAGTAAACTAAAATGTAACAATTGAATATTTTGAAATATGCACTCCAGCTCTGGGTTGTATTGTTGACTGTATTCCTTTAAGAAAAACTTACAGAAGCAAATCAGACATAGTTTTTTTTTGAATCAAGTGCATTATTTTTTTTTTAAAATTCATGCTCTTTTTCTTTAAAATAGAATCACAGGCTACAAGATACATAGAGATGTCTCTCTCTTCACAAAAGTACATTGAATAGACTTTATTTTTATGTCTTTCCTTCAACTGCATTATTCTTAGTGCTATTCACATTTCTGGCATTTATGTTGGTGGGAATAAAGTTAAAAAAGAACTAATGGTTTGTGCTATATTAAGAACACGAGTAAAGTACAGGATATCTATTATCAAATTGGGGGGGAAACTACTGGTAGAGAAGGGAGCATCTATGAAAATATAAAAAAATAAACTCTATAAAAACTAGTACTCAGTGTTCTTTTTCAATGTTCAACAGCAAAATCATGAACATAGCCACTTTTAAAAAAATACCAGATTAGCAATGATTCCTTAGAATAAACATACCATTTCACCTTTCCAATAAGCCAACAGCAATGTGTTTTACCACAATGGAATAAATAGTTTCACCTTTTATACAACATGGAATGCTCAGCAAATAGAATAGTGACCTAAAAATTAGGAGTTACCCATTAAAAATGGTATGCATTTTTAAAAGAAGTGCATACAGCATTTGTGCAATATGTAATGAAACTCAACTGGAGATTCAGGAGAGAATGAAACTAACCACCTTAATTCAATAACCTAACCAAATCATTTTCAATGATACATACTACATTAAGTTTAAAGTATTTTGGTTCTGATTTTAAAGGAACCTTAAAAGACAGAAATCAATGTGATTAACTCAATTAACTCTGTCTCCTTCACATCAATTTGTTGACAAGATAATCTCTTTTCAGTAATGAAAATGATGAAAATTATTACCACTTCATATTTGGTTGAATGTATTCAATTATAGTTTATTTTTCTAAAAATTGTATTTGTTTCAGCTAGGCACTTTCACAGTAAAAAGACTAATTCAGAGGGTGGTTCTTCTAAGACCACAGCAATAAACTCATCAAAATATTAGGAAGTCAGAATTTGACTTGCATAGGTAAATTTTATTTAAGTTGTGAATATCTAAATTCCAAGTATTATTATTTCAAATATAGAGAGGAAATTATAAAAATTACAACTGATCCAAAGGATGCAATGGAAAGACACATGGTGAGCATAATAAACAGATTACAACATGTAATCAATGACAACATGCCCATAAGAAGCAGCATGAGACATTATCATGGACATGTATGACCAGAAGAGAAGGGACAAATCATTTATCAAAAGTGAGACAAATGCACAGCCCAAATGATGCACTGGTACCCAAAAGACACTAAGAGAGCAACACAAAAGTCTCTGGTATGCTGGAAGGATACTCTATGAAGGATTAATGGGAAAGCAGCGACAAGAAAGGAACACAAAGGATGAGGAGATAGGGAAATGCTGTAATCGGCATCATTTCATACCAATTACAAAGCATGGAGAGAAATCACCACTACTGGTCTTATGATCAAAATGCTGTTCGAAACACAATAGACCCTGTTATAATACAACTCAACATTATCACATGGGGTCAGATAGAATCTTGGTCAAATTAAGTGTCCTGAAACACATTTATATATAATAAAAGCCAAACATCATATGGTTTATAAAGTGGATATTGGTTTGAATTCCTCAATAACAGCATTTTAAAATCTTTTGTTAATTAGCATGAAACAAGTATCTTTGACAACTATGACAAAGGTACTAACCAAAAACAGGGTAAATAAATTAAAGCACTAATATAATCTAAATTTTTCATGATTATTACTTAAACATGGTATGGTTATAGAGCTAAGGAGCTGAATAAGCCAACTTTAAAAAACAATTTCAGAAAATATCCTAAGATTATAGTTTGTATGAAGCAAGTATGTTTTCTCTTCAATATGTTATAAATGGAATTTGGATGCAAAAAGATAAAAAATAAAGTTTGATGGCAATTCAATATTGGCCCACAAATGAAACTAATGTGACCAGTTTGATATGGGACATGTGTTTTAAGTTGTATGCACATTGTGGCAAAAAGAAACAGTCAGATTATGCACAGGGTATAACTACAGACACAATAATTCTAGTGGCATTTATGCTTGATCATATCTCAAAACGATGGAGTGTAAAAAATACAAATAGGCCTTTTATATACAACAAATTAGACAAATTTTAACATGGCTCAGAATAAAAAACAACAATAAAAAGGTGGATTTTTTTTTTTTCGCATTTAGTGCCTCAAATTCAGAGAAATAAAAGAGAAAGACCCTTTCCCTCTCACTTCCAGGAAAAGGTTTCAACTCAGTCCTCAGAAGTATCCATCTTATGGGAGTGGGGACAGGTAACTATGGATCCACGAGTTAATATTCAGTCCACATCCATTGATCCATAGTCTGGAAGAACTCTGTTGTGAAGTCAGTTAGTTACATGGGACCACTTCTACAGTAGATTTAACTGACTCAGGAATAGACCCTGCCTTACAGGGCTATTCTAGACTTTAATGGATCACTTGAGATTACCCCAATTGGAAAGACTTGCTCTAGGCCAAGGTTCAATCATATATACTTTCTGGGTATCTACATGCCCAGTCTTTCTGTAGCTGTAGGACAAGCATCATTAACCTGGCCCCTCTGTCCTAGATTGATGCTCAATGCTGAATTTCTACATAAATAAAAAATCCTTTTTTTTAACAAAAAATTATACAAATTCTAATATGGCTCAAAAGAGAAAGCAGCAGTGATTGATTCAGAGTAATCACCCTAATTTATAGAAAGAAAAAAAAGTAACAAAATATCTCATTTGAAGCAAATGCCTTAAGGATATGGATTTCTACTGCAGTCTCCAACAGTACCAGTTATAAGAGTTTTCCCTTTAGAAAATGACTAATAGAAAAACAAAAACAAAAAAACAAACAATGAACCTGAGTATTAAAAGTTAGACTGAGAATTCTTGCTATATACTTTTTAAAAAAAATTGTATATCTTTTTCAATTAATAAACATCTATTTTCTCTCTCGGTTCTAGTTCTTAATTTGCACAGAGACCAAAAACATATCACATACAGTGTTATTTAACTGGAAAGCTATCATTATCCTCATTTCAATATATTCAAAGATAATTTTAATTTTACCACAGGTGAAATAATTTACACAATATGAAATATATGTTTTGTCCAGATCTGTGATTTCATAAGTATAGGGAGCTTCCTGGTAAGGAAACTTCCTTTACCAAAGTAGACCAGCAACAGATTGCCTTAGATTGTTGGCTTCGGACACTGAGAGATTAAATGATTTGCCCAGGGTCATATAGCCAGTATATGTCAGAGGATGGACCTGAGCCCAGATTTTCCTGACACTGAGGTCAGGCCTTTATATTCACTATGCCTTGTTATATTTTTGAAATGTATAAAGACATTCTGATAGTCTGACTGCTTTTTTTCCCCCTACGGATGGTATGTAATTACCAATTTACCTTAATCCAAAATGGAGTCATGAAGCTATACTCAAAACCAGCTTCAGACACTTACTAGCTATGTGACACCTGGCAAATCACTTAACCTTTGTCTGTTTTGGTTTTGGTTTCCTCAACTGTAAAAAAAATAAATAAATCAGGATAATAATAGCACCTATCTCCCAGGGTTGTTGCAAATATTAAATGAAATAATATTTATAAAGTGTTTTACAAACATGAAAGTGCTATATAAATTCTAACTATTGCTAATAGGTTGTTTGTCCCTGGTAGGCAAAGGAGATTTGTTTGAAAATGTAAAATTTGGGTTAAAATTCCAGAAATGTTCTAATGCTTTAAATATGTTTCAAAGTATGGTACTATTCAATCAACATGGGCATAAACATATTACAGTTAAAATTTTCTAATGTGAATTGACTTTATGAAAAGGTAGTATGGAATCATCTACCAGTTTGACTTAATCAATTGCTTAAAGTCTGACCTGCCCCAAATTCTTCTAATATCTTGCTATAATACTTCTTACCTGGCCTAAAAATTTCAGCTTTAGCATCACTTCTTTGGTTAGAACAAGGAAGACAGGACAATGTCTCCAGGTGAACACTGCTACAATGCACTTCTGTTACTTTAAAGATAGGGAAAAATTTGGGGATGTACTTTCCCCCCAATTAGCTCCGATTAGTTCACTATCACCTTGAAACATCGATAGCTTGGCCCTGTGAACATAAACTGCATTGTAGGCTATGTAATTGTCAGAGTGGGTATCATGGCGAGAGACAGTTAGGTAGCTGTGGCAGAGTCACTGGGTGCCTGCCAGGGACAGCAGGACTTACATGATGAAGTGTAAAGAGTTTAGAAACTTCATGGGGAGTAAGGCAGAGTGCAGGAAAGAGGAAGAGAGGGCTTCACAAAGAGAGAGAGAAAGCTAAAAAGTGGAGGAAAGAGGAAGAGAGGGATTGAGAGAGAGAGAGAGAGAAAGCTAAAAAGACACCAAAGGAAGCATCACCTACTTCACAATTCTGTTTAGGGATGGCCCTGGGGATTGACAAACACATGTGGTCAAAGTTCGAATATGCTACAAATATTCTTAGTATATCTTACTCTAGCTAAACCAATCGGTTAAAACGAGGGTTTAAAAACATGATCTCTAAATGAAATTTGCTCCTAATTGTCTTAGCACTTTCTACAAGATACACTAGGACACTTCAGTCAAGGGTCCAAGTGTACAAACAGAATGTTTCTTTGTAAGTAAACAAATAAAAACGAAAATAAAATGCCTTGACTTATTCAGATATCAGAGTATTTTAAGTATTTGTAACTTAACTATTAAAAGGCAAAATACACACAGGTCTTGAAGCCAGAATAAAAAACACTTTGCAATTTGTAGTTTGACATGAAACTTTTCTAGAAGTCATTTCCCTGAAAAGCAGTTGTTTCTGAAAAACTTGGAGGTTAAAATGATTCTTTATAAGGGCACTCAAGCTTTTAGTATGTGATAAAAACAACTGTTTACTTCTGTGATGCTTAATAGAATTAATTCAAATTGAGTTTGAATTTGAAGGCTTTCATCATATTTACTATAAAACAGCCACCAAGTGATTATTTTAAAGCAAAAAAAAAAAAAATCAGTTCTTTAATTTCATCAAAAACAGTAAGTATTCCACTAAGGAGGTGGTACTTGATGATCTATTAAAGAAAAATAACTATTAGACTACAATTAGGAAATAGCATTATTTTGTGGCTCACTATTTAAAGAGAAAATTCATAAAATCATTTCTTCATGGAGAACTAATGCCAATTGTTACTACCAGTGGCAGAGATTGGTTTGGCTAGATCTTGCTGATAAGAATAGTCTCAAATGGAAAATTAGTGCAATTAATGCTAAAGCATTATATTTAAGTGTGTGCTTTGTTCACACATTCATAAAACTGGCACTTTCACGAAATAAACGGCAAGAGTTTGGGTTTGTTTGTACATAATGTCTAAGATATGCAGTCCGAGTACTGCAAATTACTAAAGCATGCACATTAGGGTGCCCTATTACAAGTAAGAATTAAAAATTAATGGGGAAAAGAACCTGCAAAAGCCATATTCAGAAATGTGGCATAAATCAGTGTTATACTCATTTTCCAAGTTTGTGCCCCTGAGTCAACAATTTGATAACCATTATATAGTAGGCACAGAGACCTAGTTATCAAACAAGAAACTAAAATAGCTGCTGCTACATTTTAAAAGCATGTTAATTACAGAAAAAAATGGTCTCACGTTACTTGATCTGTGCTTTGCTTTTATCTAGATTTGAACAAATTTCAGTCAAATAATTCTCTGTTAATCTGAATATCTGCACGTTTTTTCCCCCCTGCCTGCAATTTCAAACACTCTGGTTGGGATTCAATAATGTATCTATAACAAGAAGTGATTAGTGAATGAATGTAAAAAGTTTGGGTATCTTCTAAAATATTAAGCAATAATTAATTTGACAATACTACTTGACAGTAGAGTAAGTGAGGCTTCTTTGGCTGGAATCACAAATAGATTCAAATCCAGTATCTCGGATCACATGAATCAAATTACTGAGTTGCTAGACTTTGGCTTTTAGACTACAGTAAAACAACATTAACACTTTCAGTGTAACTTACATGTGGTAAAGTTCATCTCACTAAAAATACACTCCGCTGGAGGCTCCTAGAATAACCAGTGCTGCTGTTATTACAAGCCCAGAGTCAGAGCTTATTGAGATGGTAGACTGATGCCACACGACCACTATTGCTAATCATTCGGTTTGTTCTGAAAAAAATGTGTAAATGACCACCCTCCGTTAGAAGATTTCGGCGATTCTTCATCCTTTGGGGGAATCAAGAACTGCCGAGAATTAACTGAACACGGGCTTCCAAAGGACACAGTTTCACTGTTGCTGTCTATGGACCGAGGAGAATCTGGAGAGTCCAAGGTCCAGGCAGTGACGTGTGTCTGAGGTCTGTAACCTGCAGCTTTCTCTAAGCCATCGGCTGCAATCATGTCCTCGACGGCAGAAGTAACTGGCAGGTGCATTTGTGGCTTATAGCCTGCTCCACCCACAGAGTTGTTTTCTAGTTCTTCCTCTGGTTTTGCCTGAGGTTGATACATTGATTGAATATCAATGTAAATGACTTGTGAAGAGCCTCCAGCTTCCTCCCCTCCAGCACTTGCTATCTCCTCCTCAATGATTGGTGGACAGTAGGAGACAACCACATGGTTTTCAGGCTCAGCATCAGACCCTTCTTCAGGACCATCAGCAACTGGGGATTTGATCTCAGTATCCTCCTCTATCTTAGGAGCTGCTGATCTCGTTTCCACCACTTCCACATTATTAGGAGTGCAAGGATTCATTTCCAGCGTTTTCAGAGTACTGCTTCCCTGCAAAGGGAAAAACACTGCATGAGAACAGAAGGCTCAAACTGTTGTCACATACAAAAATAACAACAAAGTTCTATATCAGCTCATTTTCCAACTGTAACCTGATCACAAAAACTTGTTGCATATATTTTCTGTCATATATTTTAACAAAATTACAAGATTTTTTGCCCCAATCTACTTTTTGCTTTTTATTCAATCATGTCCAACTCTTTGTGACCCCATGGACCATGGCATGCCAATACCGTCCATGGGGTTTTCTTGACAAAGATACTGGAGTGGTTTGCCATTTCCTTCTCCAGTGGATTAAGGCAAAGAGAAGTTAAGTGACTTGCCCAGGGTCACCTACCTAGTGAGCGTCTTAGATCTGATCTGAACTTAAGTCTTCCTGACTTCAGGCCCAGAGCTCTATCCACTGAGCCATCTAGCTGCCTCCTACTTTTTGCTCACCAATTACAAAAAAAACAGTGAAAGAAAAAAACAGATTAGAGTCCAAAGGAATCTTTTAAACCTCATAACTTGAGATGACTAAATATATTATTTAACATTTCAGACATAAAATTTTCAGGTTGACATACAGCTTTAGTTATCTTCCTCCTAAACTTGCTTAAAAATAATGAGAAGGAAGCTATTATGTTAAGGATGAACTAGAAAACAATGCATTTTAAAATCTTTAAAAAGAGACAAATATTACCTCACAGATGCTTTTATGGAACTGCAATGCCTTACTATTTTCTGGATTTGGAATATCAGGATAGAAAGTTTCTTTAATCCTTAAAAAAATAAAGGAAGTATGATTAAAGAATAAGCTTTTGTAAAGACAAGTCTACCAATAAGAAAATTAGATAACAGAAATTAATATTTTAGTATCTTCATTTTTAGTTTTCTTCATACGAACTACTTTAGTAATAAAATATTCATTGGTAGCAGTAGATCTGTGCATGCATTTTTTCCTGGACATTCAATTATAAATACATATACATATACACATATACATATAGTAATTATGGAGTTTCTAGATTGGAAATACATGCATACTGTAAACACAGGCCTCTAGATTACACCATGTCTGGTCTTCTCCAGGTCATAGTGACAACGCATATGATAATGAAAAAGATATTTGTTAGCTGCTTGAACAATTCAGGACCTTACTGTCCTCCAGTTACAGAAGGAAAAACCTTTCAATAATTAGGGCTGGATAACAATAGGGAGGAATGGGGACAGTGATAATTATACTGTACTTTGCCCTCATCAGATTTCAATCGGAGAACCATTTTCAGTGTTGATAAAGCTAGAGAGTATTCAGATAAGGGCAACTAGGTTCACCAAGGACCCTGGGATTTCTTCATGTATGCACTGGATTAGATGGATGCTGAAGTTGCTTCTAATTTTCAAATTCAATGATAATTAAATGAGCTGCCTCAGGAGTTATCAAGTTAATTGAAACTGCAGATCTTTAAGGAAAGGCTAGAAAGGAAGATCACTTTTCAGGGATACTGTAGATATGATCTGTGCTTTCTGGTATGAAGGGAGCAAGAGTTGGACCAGAGGATCTCTGAGAGCGCCTTCTAATTCAGATTCAGTGCAGCATTACATTGTATTTATAGGTGAGGTGCATGTTATAGTGAATTATGTTCCATAGTGGGTGATATTAGAAAGAGGCCTCAGCATATTATAAGCCATGATTTCAGGAAAGGGGTGTCTTTTATATTAGCAGGAACCGGTAAGATCAAAGAAGAAAAGATGTTAGACTAAAGCCAAATATTTCTCAAGAATATGAATGAGGAAAATGAAATTTATCCCTGTTTTCTAAAAAAAACAAATTAAACTTAAAATTTCACATTAATTTTTCAAATTCCAAGAGTGCTAGACAGTATGGTGTAATGAAAAATGCCCTGGAGTCAGCCTTAGGTTAAATCCAGACTCTTTACTAGCTAAGTATTCATGAGTAAGTCATAGCCTTTGAGACACAATTTCCTCACCTGTAAAATAGGGATAATAATAGCTGTGACTAATTCAAAAGATTATGAGAATAAAATGAGATAATATATGTAAAGTGTTTTGTAAACCTTAAAAGTGCTTTCTAATTATCAGCTATAAGTTAAAGTGATGATATTTCTCCTTTTAGCCTAGTATCTACTAATACAATACTGAAAACCAATGATTTTATAATTAACAGTGAAAATTATATAACTAAATTATTAGGAGAGAAAATTATATAACTAAATTATTAGTAGAGAGATCTAAAAACAGCCTGTCTAAAAATGTAAAGCCTTTTTTCCCTAATAAGTAATATTTTTGTCTATTTTATCAATTATGCAATCATATCAATTTAGGGACCTTTCCAAATATAAGTTCTATGATTCTATACCACCTTTCAGTTCCATAAATGCAAAGATTTTACTCAGTTTTACAATACTCTTAGGTAATGGAAATTTGTAAACCCAACTCCCAAACAAACAACACTACCCATGAGTACAAAAACATCATTCAATATATCTATGTATATGTGATTACCATTCTCTTTTACGATAACAAAGAATACTGGTTACCACTCCAACAAAGACAGCTACTGCCACAGGGATAAGAATGGCAATAATTAATCCCTCAGCTGAAAAAGAGAATATTACAGATTATTAGTTGTCATTTTTATTAGTCCGAAATACAAGCAAAAAATTTATGGTTAAGGAACAAATTAGAAAATGAAAATATTTACCATTTCTAACTGACCAAATTATTGTGAAATATTCCTACTTTATCTGACATTATGAAATTAAATATACTGTCTATTTGTTAAATTTTGGGGTGATTATAGTCATCACAGTTTTCTAGTTAGAAATTGTAGGTAAGCACCAGGAGGAAGTAGGGACCACTTTAGTGTTCATCTGAGAGCTGAGAGTCACACCGTAATAAACTGAAGACTAGTTCAGCCATCCCAGGTGCCACCTTTCCACTTTTTCTCCTGAAGAACTGCTCCTTTTTTTTCCCCCGAGAGCAGTGGACAGGGCATCTGCTAGAGAGGCTTACATGAATCAATGGGTGATAAAATTTGAAAATCAATGCTTTAGCCTATAATATTATTAATGTTAACATCTAGTTTAATATAATAAGCATCAAGTGAAATCTTTTGGTTCTGACCTCTAAAACATAAGTATCAAACTTGCTGCCTTGCACTCCCAGAATTGGCCAAAACAGAATAAAAATGTAATTGGGAAATATTAAACAATAAATAAAAATACAATACAGTATATATAATGTTAATTTGTGGTTTTCTAAGTCAATCAAAAGCCTTTGAGGATCCTTTCTATTTTTTACACCACTTCCCTAGAATACACACACGACAGTCAATTTAGTTTGAAAAGAGTAAACCAAAAAAAAAAAAATTTTCTTACCAGTATACCCCGACCAAAATCAGACTGTAAACTTGAAATTGTCTCCCCCAAAGCATTCCAGAACTACCTTGAACTTCATTAAGAGATTTCTATTATTACATTTCAAGATTTACTAGTAATATCATACAAATATGTGCAGAAAACATTTCTATTAATAAAAATAAATTTAACTTACAATTTTCCTTTGTAACCACATACATAGCCTTTCCTGGACCTATTCCACCATCTGTGTAAGCCTGCAAGAGCAGATGGTAGCCCGTTTTTCCTTGAAGATCGACAATTCTTAATGTTTTCTGTGTTATGTCAGTAATATTCTTAACTTTTACATCAGAACGTCCTGTTTTTGAAATAAATATACCAATAATTCATAATCATTTCATGTGAAGCATTTTTTAAATGACAATACAAACTGGAAAACAGTGTGTTCTGAGTTATACTTGTAATACTTCAATCAATAATATATAACTCTAATCCATGATTTGGGTGGACATTATCATAACTATTATTCTTACAGATCTTGTTCTACTACTTTATTTGGTGATCTCATTAGTTCTCATGGATTTAATTACCATTTCTATGCTGAGGATCCTCAAATCCAAGAGATATCTTATATTCAACGTGTCCAAAACCAAACTCATTATCTTTTCCCCTAAAACCTCCCCTTCTCCTACTTTCCCTGTTACTGCTAAGGGCAACACCATCCTCCCAGTCCCCAGGCTCACAACCTAGAAGTCATCCAGGATTTCTCACTATCTCTCACCACCATATCCAATCTGTTGCCAAAAACTGTCGATTTCACCTTTGCAACATCCCTGTTCCTACATGCCCCTTCTCTCCTGACAGTCATCCCTCTAATGTAGACCCTCATCACCTCATGCTGGGATTGCTGCCAGAGCCCGCGATTGGGTCTGCCTGCCTCCAATCTCTTCCCACTCCAATCCACCTTCCATTCAGCCACTGATTTTCCTAAAGCACAGGTCCAACTAGTAACTCTGATGGTTCCCTATCACCCCTAGGACCAAATACAAAATCCTCTGCTTGGCATTCAAACTCTTCATAATCTAGCCCTCTCCTACCTTTCTAGTCATCTCACATCTCACTCCGCAACATTTACTCTTCAATCCAGTGACACTGGCCTGCTGGCTGCTCCATGAATAAGACACTTCATCTCTCAGTTCCAAGCACTTTCCCTGGCTGTCCCCCATACCTGGAATGCTCTTCCTCCTCATCCCTACCTGCTGCCCTTCCTTGGCTTCTTTTATGCCCCAATTAATATCTCATCTTCTACAGGAAGCTTATCTCAACCTCTCTTAATTCTAGTGCCTTCCTTCTCTTAATTATTTCCTATTTAACTTGTATATAGTTTGTATGTGCATATTTGTTGTCTCTCCATTAGATTGTGAGTTTCTTGAAGGAAGGGACTAACTTTTTTTTTTCTTTCTTCTTCTTCTTCTTTTTCTCTTTTTTTTTGGGTATCTCCAGCACTTAGAACAGTACGGACATAAAATAGGCCTTTAAATAAATATTTATTTACTGACTGTTACCAATCTCTTTGTAAGAGACTAATCCCAGGGAGTGAATGGATTGGTAATAAAATGCAGTCTAGCTAGGAAATTCATGGTCTCTGAAGGTTTTGCTAAAATACCCATTTTTAGATCTATTAAATCTTATTAGTTTTCTCTGATTATATGTGTATATATACATGTATATATTTATCAGTATTCTCATTCCTAACCTCACAATAATTAGGAGATTGTGAAGGGAGGGGAAACAAAGCTAAATTTATTCTACTATAAATATCATTTCCTTTTCACAAATGAGAGAGCAGAGACAGAAGATACAAGACTGTTATATGAATTAAATGCAAAAGAAATGACAGCTTCTGGATCGCTGATGTGCTCAAAGTTTAGAAAAAATTCTGCTAAACTTTAACGACATTTGGACATATAATTTGTGAATTAATCATTTAAAAGATGTTTAAATTAACTGATAGAATGAAGGGGGAAATTTGTCATTGACCAAAACAAAGGAAAAATGAAATGAGTTGTACTTGAGCAAATTATATTGTTAAACTAAGGCTTTCAAAATATATTATGGAAGAGTATTACCAACAGTGCTAAAGTTGAATTTATTCCACATATATTTACTTAAGATAGGGTAAAATTATTGAAATTGTCTATTATTTTGTGTGCCCTTATTAGTAATTTCTTTGGTGTACATTTAAAAATGACTTATCATTAATATGCCCTCCATTGCAATAAATATACATAAGATTTTTCCACCATAAACTGCTATCTTTCTCATGATTAGATTTTTCTTCCATTTATCAGAAAACAATTTCTATTAGTGGCTAATTTAATCAGTTTGTGTCCAGACCCAAATCTCTAAATTTCATTTATATAAAGTACTGAACACACAACACTATAAAATGCTTTGATCCTCAGGAAAGCATATTTCTTTCAAAATTTTCGCTCCTGAAGTGAGGCTTTTTTTTTGTTTTTTGTTTTTTTTTTGCCAAGTCATCCCTACAATGTGGTAATTTGATGGCAACTGCTCTGGGTTAAGTAATCTAAAAGAAACCCCCGAGATTCTCAGAATTATTTGGTGTCAGCAAGGAAGCCCCATCACCCTTCTACCGTTACCCAGGCATCAATTAACCAACAAGCATTTAAGCTACATTGTGCCAAGCACTATGCTAGGCACTACAGATACAAATATAAAAATAAAAAGAGTACCTTTCCTCAAAAAGTTTATATTCTATTGGCATCTTGGGAAAAGATGAGACTGGCTGCCTAGCAACAGTGTTCTTCTTTCTACTTAAAACCACCATCTCCAGTCTACACAAGAACCACAGCTCAGGACTGTCCAACTCCATGAGATTACAAACCTTCACCACCACCCCATCAGTGTTATCAAGCCACTATGAGAAGAAAGTCCCAAACACATACACACACATACACACACACACACACACACGCATGCACAAACACACTCTCATTCCCCTTAGTAAATGTGAAATGAAAACAGTGGGTGGTAAGCATCCTCACAAGTGTAATTTACCTTTTCTCCTATATTCTTTCTATTGATAACTCTAATAGTGAAAACAAGAACTCCAATTTTTAAAAATTACTTTTATGTAAGTTCACTAACTTAAATAAATCTAAGAAATGCTCAAGGTTTTAAACTCATTCTTTAGAGCCCAAGCTTCTTGAGGGCAGGAACTGTCTTTTGCCTTTCTTTGTACTCCCTGGGTTGACACAATGTCTGGCACATATTAGGGGCTGAATGAATGCTGACTGATTGACCAACTCATGTCCAAGAATCTGGGGCAAGTCCAGTTCTTTGTAGAAGCTTTAATACACAAATGTGCTCATGATGAAAGCAAGGTAAGTTGCCAAGTTTATACAGGTCATTCTTAACCATGATGCTAACTGGATGTTTTTGCAATGTGAACAGCTCTATAACAGATAATGAACTAGAAACAACTTAACCTTTCTGAAGGTAAGAACTTCACTTTTCTGAACACAGGTTTCATTTTCTGTAACAATAAGTGTTTGCAATGGGTAAATTGCCAAGATTCCTCCTTTCAGCTTTTACCTTAGTATCCTATGACCATGATTCTAAGACTGCTTGATTCTTAGGCTTGCTGTACCATTACCATAATCATATCAATTCATACAATCAACCAATCAATCAACAAATATTTATTAAATACCTACTGTGTATCTAGAAAGACAATAGAATGATGCCTCCCCTATAACCTTAAATGCAAACTCTGTAAAAGTCTTCACATTCTCTTTTTTACATATTACATTAAAATGTAAATAGTCATAATTACAAGAATTGCTTTGTTTCCTTGCTTAGTGACAACAACAAATTTTAGAATATCATTATCTAAAATAATATCGAAAATTTTCAGATAATACTTTTTTGGTAGATAAGGAAACTCAGGAAATTTTCAGCTCGAAAAATGAGAATCTATTTACCTGATTCCAAACCCTGGATTTTAGAAGTGCCTTTCTCCCCTTTTTCAAAGTAAAATAAATATCCTCTTAAAAATCCCCTAAGGTCTTCAACAGGAATATCTTCCCATTTTACTAATATTGAATCTGCAGAGGTGTCTTCCACAGTAAAATTTGGTGCAACGCTTGGAGCTGTAGAAAGAAATTGTCAACAACTAAAGGATATTTTATTAAGACTGAGATTTTACCAAGGAATCATGAGTCATAGTTCATAAAACTTCATCACATCCTTAAAAAGAAATTCAACAAATACACTTTTGCCTTTACAGTGAAACCTATTCTAGAGGCATACTCATACAAACTCCTCTTTATTGAAAAAAGTAGTACTTAAATCCTTTTATTTCTTTGAACTGAATATTTCAATTTCTGAAATACAGGCCTTAATATTATTATATATTTATTACAATTTCCCATGTGATATTTTGTATATTTTGTCATGCTGAGGTTTTATTTTACTTTAAAATCTAAACTATCTAATAATTCAAATTGTAAGACATGAATGTAATGGACTATTATTCCATCATAGGAAATATGAATACAGAAAAGCATGGGAAGACCTATAAATTGATGCAAAGTGAAGTAAACAGAACCAAGAAAACATACATAATGAATGCAATAATGTAAATGGAAAAAGAAAAAGCAAAACTGTATGTCATGTAATTAAAATGACCAAGCCTAGTTCCCAAAAAGATGAGAATATGCGTCTCCTTTCCTTCTTTGCAGAGGTGGAGAGAGTTATGGATATGGAACACTGCATCTACATCAGATTTGATTAATGCATTGGTTAGTTTTATTAACTGCCTTTTTCCTCTTTCTTTTTTGTTCTTTGTTATAAGGCATGACTTTCTGGATAAGGAGATATACTTGGAAATAAACATGGTATAAAAAGAAAATATGCAAGTAAAATAAAAAAAAATTAAATAACTTACCAAGCTCTTCTGTATATCCAACTACTGAACGCAGTAATTGATATTTCTGATTTTTGCAGCCATAGAGGAAAAAATTATAGCGTGTTCCAGATCGAAAATTATCTGTAAAGAATACTATATTCAGTAAAATTTAAAAATAACCCTCTGTCACAAATAGATCTACTTGAGAAACACGTAATTTGTAACAAATTTTACAATTAAGACTATCTTCTTAAAACTAGTTTAAAAATTTATTCCATCTATTCAAAGGAAATGCAGATTAGTCCTACTTGAAAAGTCACTACTTCTAGGGCTATATTAGCAATTTAAGTTCATAAAACTGTTTATACATATTAAAATTAATTTGGAAATCTGATGTCTGGAGACAACTACAATAACCAAAGTGACCAGACACATTAGGTGAGAAAGTCCTAGATTTTAACTTCTTTAACCTTAAGATCAAACCATTCAGAACTTATCCTAGATTTCACCTAGGGATTTTTGATCAGTTTATTAGTCTACCTGAAGACTCTGTTCCCATTCCCAACCCCTATGCCTCTCTGAAATTTCTTTGCTACAACCAAAATGGCGATTTCTGACTCTCAGCAACGTGGAAAATGCTGCTCCTGTTGTCATTCTCCTTTAAAGTTAGCACTAAATTTCAGACAAATGAATTTCCAACATTCAAGGGCTAGTTCAAATCCCAGCTCCATCATGAAGCCTTCTTTGACTACTTCAGACCACTTTATTTTCCCTTTGAAATCCTATGGCAGATAGTTATCACAGAGATTAGCATTTAAAGGTTATTTGTTTCATGTGTGCTAGGTTAGGTTCTTCAATTAGCTGATAAACTTCATGAGAGAAGGAATCTTTAATGCTTCTGCTAGTCACAAACAGAGGATTCCGTATTTCTTGTTGGGGAGTTGATTTTTCCCCTTTCAGGAGACAAGGGGTAAGAGAAGAGTGGGCAAACAGAAGGGATCAAGGAGAGTAAGCATGGGTGGGTAGATCACTCTCTGGCACTAGCATGAGCAGTGACCCTTCAAGGTAAATGGTAGGCAGAGACTCAGATGAGAGTCAGTTCAAAAACATTGAACTGCTGGAGATTGGGGGATGGGTAGATGGAACAATACCCAGAGAAAGAAGTGGCTTTGCAGAGAGCCTGTTAGTCCATGTTAGATCAAACGGAAGGAGTAGGGCTCTGTATTATTGTTGTTATCTCATCTCACCTGCTCATCCTATGAATATATTTTTGAATGTCCACTACTTGGGAACTTTTTGGGGGTGGGTGAGAGGAAACTTGAAGTGACATACGTCATCCCCGATATTAAGCAAACTTGTGTTTAAAAAGGCCTTGGAAGTAAGAATTTTAATTTTAACTAGTATTTTGAGATTTTCCTTCCCAAAGACAAAATTTGAAGAACTTAAATTTTAGCTTTTATTCAACTCTTTAAGAGTGAATAGCAATTATTCAATTCTTTAAAAGCAGGGAGCTATTACTGCATTCTACAAACAGTGGGAATCACCAATGTGTCACCATCATCCTCCCAAAGCCTTGTGCTTACTCCTTACTGTCTTACAGTGAAAGTACATAGATTTTGGGAGTGTATTTTAGCAGACAGAATAGAAATGCTCAAAGGAAAACCTGTGAGAATACAGCAGTCCAGAAAGATTGCAACAAAAGGTCATCTGCCAGGGGTTAAGAATAAAAGTGTAATTCCCATGCTGCTTCTCCTTATATGCTTCTATCCTAACCACTGTGTACACAGCCATACTGGGGATGATATTATTAGGGCTCTATCTTGAAGACTTGCTTCATTTCTAAACATTCATCCTTATTTTACTATCTCTCTGTATCCTCCTACTTACTTACTTGGAGTTTACTTCAGCTATCATCCACTGTTTCTAAAATTGCTGTTACAAATCTCCAATGACCCTACATACAGCATATAAGAATAATTTAAATACATTAGAAATGCCTTTACAGAATTACATTAAAGTAAAAAAAAATGTTAATTTTCTTTTTATACTCGTTAGCTGAGCAAAAATCTCATACACAAAATCAGTCAATATGAAACCAACAAAACAATTATTCATCTAGGTTTTACTCTCACCTATGTACATTTTAACCCGGAAACTATGACACTACTAATTTTTAAAGAATTTTAGTTGAAAGAAATAACTTTTACCATATTCTATGAGTGCTCCAGTACTATTTGCAGGGAATTTTTTCCAGTCAATGAGGCAGGGTTCAGATTGAGTTGAATTACACCATTTTATAACATAGTCACAAGTCATGTTGGGATCATAATTCCAGTGAAATAATATGCCATTTCCTACTCCAACAATCTGCTCTACTTTGAGGTCTTCTACAAAAAGACGAGTTATAAAGAGATATTATTGTCTTCAAAACAGTAATACAAGTCAGAGCCTATAAAAACAGATTTTTAGGGGTAGTACAAATTACTTCATATATTGGAATTTTGTTAAATTAGATTATTTCCAACTAAGTTTGGAGTTTGGAAATATTGTTGCTTTGGTATGATTTTTATTATAAAAAAACTCATAATAGTATTTGACAAAATTGCTCATAACAAAGACTGCAATTGTTTCAACCACCATCTTCAGGTGGCTGAAAATTATTTCATTTCACAGTGACTTTTAGATCTGTCACCATCAAGGAATAGTTTTGCCTTCTTTCTGATCTCCATAATACAACAATACACTGTCAAGTGAATGAGTTCTGGTTTTGAAAGAATGATTCAAAGACAAGTTAGATGAAGGTGGGGGAGGGAAAGAATCAAGTAGGACTCAGAAAACTGGATATATTAAAACCAGGGATTTATGGCATATACCTTGGAGTACAGTAGTCTGACATTTTATAAATAAATAATTTGCCAAAGGTTAGTTCATACACTGGTTGTCTGGTAATTAGATAGCATTTTCTCCTAGAAACATTATACTATAAATAGTAATTAGGTTTTTCAGGCCAACAAATAAAAACCTACATAATCCATGACATGCCTTAAAAACAAAACAAAAGTCTTTTCTAACTATAGTGGTATGTGAGTTACTTGGGGTGTGCAATTTAGCTCGATATGGTTTCATCCTGTATCAGCAATGATCATTCATATACCAGTTTAGCTTGGGATATGTTGAGTTTAAAATGTCTATGGGACATCCAGTTTCAGATATTCAAGAGATAGTTGGAGATGGGAGACTGAAGGTCAACTGAGAGGTTATGGCTGGGTAAGTAGACCTGAGAATCATCTGTATAGAGATGATAATTCAATCTATGAAAACTGAGAAGAACGCCCATCACAGAGACTTGGGGGACACCCAATGTTAGTGGGCACGATGATAAAGGAAGAGAATTAAGTAAGATACTGGCTACACAAAAATTTTACGAAAATACTACACTGGACCGAGTAAGAACAGGTTTGAATTCAGAGTGGGGGTGGGAAGTTGATTGGAAATTAACAATTTTTGCTAAGTTTGACTCTGTTTTCCCTTCCATACTCTCCCCTCCCCCTAAATACAATCCATGGAAAGGAGCTTATGAAGAAATTATGTGGAATCAGCAACACCAGACATCTTTAAGAAGAAAATAAATGTCTGTTCTGTATGATTCACTTTCCTGAACATCTGTGCGAGACTAGATGGACAATTTCTTTTCTAGCTCTACTAAGTCCTTTATAAGATACAAAAACAGCATAAAACATGGCCCTGGATTTCAGAAAGTTTATAATACATGAGAAGACAAACTATATAGCAATACTAACAAAGGAAAACTATGAAATGTAATCCCAGGCAGAAGCTAATTCAAACAGTTACTCACATATTTATTATCTTTTCCAGGTCAAAATTACTATCTCTCTTCATGTGTTCTCTTGGTGAGCGCTCCCTGGCTTCTATCTCTAGGTTGTTCTTATGTGATTTTTATTTATCTCTTAGATCCACTCTGCTTTCTCCACTCCTGCTTAACCTTCCTTCTACAAGCACCAGTCAAAGAACACAATAAAGCTGCAAGTGAAGAGAAAGTGACTGCCTCTAAAAAACTAAGAAAACCTGTAAATGTTCATAGCTGGAAGGGTATCTGAAAGATTATCAACCATTTTCAGGTTTGTTGGGTTTCATGCTCGTGGAGTTTATTAACCCCTTCATTGTTTACAGACAGGTCATGTAATTTGTTTTTCCTGGTCCTGGACAGGGACAGGAAATGCCTCCCACTGGGCTGAAGTGGATGGAAGGAAGAGGAATCATTTGTGAACTGGGAGTTAGGCGATGCTAATGTCATGACTAGTGAGGAGAAAAGAGAGGAGACAGTAAGCAACAGCTTGACTCTGAGTAACAGAGAATCCAGGTCACATGAATAATCCAGAATGAAGATGATCCACCCACAAATAACCAGGAGTTTATTATAAATTAATTTTAATGGAGGAGGGAAGGAGAAGAAGCAAATGAGCTGTATAATTCATCATATTTTTTAAATAAAAAAATTATAGGAAATGAACTTAAATCGAAGGGAGTGAGTTCCACATTAGATATAACAAATACTTCGCTGACAACAAAGTGCATTAAATATTCTTCCTGGATGCTTTGGAGCCTTGGAGAATCTCTATCCTCAGCTATCTCAAAGAACATAGATGTCTACTAGGTTTCATGATAAATATAGTCCTATCTGGTTGCAGGGAGATGAACTAGAGCAGAGAAGTCAAAATATATCTGGGAAATGTTAAACAAATAAAAACACAATACAACATAGATAATATTAATTTGTAATTTTTACTAAGTCAGTATGTAGCCCAAAGGGAGCTTTTTCTGAGTTTGGAAGACTGAACCAGAGGATCTCTTGAGCATTAGGATTTTATATATGAAAATCAAATCTATATATAAATTATCAAGATATTTTTGCTCTTTCAGTAATACCCATTAGGCAAAGCAGAATACAATTGTATATAGAAGTTATTTTACAAGGTAGGATGCTTCAAGACAATATTAATGAGTCCCGTTTCTCACTATACATTAGAAATATTTTCATTCATTATTTTTAATAAAGAATCTCACTAGGACTGTCCTGGGAATATGCTGACAGTTTTACCACGGAGAAAAGAAGTACATCAACGTGACTGATTTTTTTTTATTTTTGTGCATTCAAACATTTATATTTGTTAAATTTAATATATTATGAGGTTTTAAAGAATTTTTAAATACATATTTTTCCATTTCCGAAAGTCATCAGAAAGTGCAACAAATGAAAAACATCATTTTAGTATATAAGAACACTTCTACCAAAGAATGTAAAAATAATCATTATTGAACAAGTTATCTGTTGCAATTAAAAATATATATTTTAATTCATATCTGTTCAGATGAAATATAACATCGTACAGTTAATAAATTACTACTGTTTTAAGTACTCACCATTTGGGATTTCCATACTAGTTATCTTAGAAGGTGGAGATGATCCAGCTGAATTTCTGGCTACAACACTAATGATGTAATCATTGTAATCATTTCTGTCAAGTTGTATTTCTGCTCTGTGCTGTGGATCAGGAATCTCAGGAAGGTACTGTTTTTCTTCTTCTGACCAATATGATATATCATAGGAAAGTATTTTTCCATTAGCTTCATTAATAGATAAGGGCTAGAAATAACAAGAAAAAATCCTTGCTAAGAAGTTCATGAAGAAAGTGATTAGGAATATTATTAAAATGATTATGAAAATGTTCATTAATTCTGAAAATGATACAAAGCTGGGAGAAACAGGGTTTGCCTACACTGAAGCAAAGATTAGAATTCAATGTAACCTGGACAAATTAAAAGCAGACAAGGTAAAAGAGCAACCTTTGCAATGTTGTGCACTACTAAAAAAACATAAGAAGGCATGTCACTCAGAATGGAATACAAGCTAAACACAAATAAGAAATGTTTCTGGTATTAAAAAAAATCAAATACCATACTAATAATAGATGAATTATGTATTTAAAAAAACACAAGTTAACTATTTGAACTGATCAGCAGAAATAACTTAATTTAGAGGAATTAATCCAATTATGGTTACCAGATTTTGAAATTATGGGAAACTTAAAATGGATCCAAAAAAAAAACTGTTTGAGAATTCTTTAAGAAATTTGCATAAAGATTTTTTTTAATCTGGGGAGAAAAGATATAAACTATGGCTATCTTCAAATATATGAAAAATTGCATGAAGATTATCCAACTGTTTTTCATCTATGTTAAGGACAGAGTTGGAGGAAGTAAACAAACTATAAAAAGATATTTTTTAAAAGATTTAAGAAAACTCTATTATAAAGGAATAACAACATATAACAAGTTGTTGAAGCAGCAAGCAAATTCTCTTCCCTAGAAATATTTAATACAAATATTATGCTTCTAAATTTGTACTTGATTTTATTAGTAGCTATGTTTTACAAAAGTTGTATATAAGTCAATTTTTGCAAACATTTTAGAGACAATAGAAAAACTCATTATTTACAGGTATCCTATACTGAACCATCTTACAAAGGGAATGATTACTTACTTGTTTAACAAACTCATTTTATAAATTGTGTTTTAATTAAAATAGGATACACTCATAAGCTATAGTGACAGAAAAAATACTGGAGAACTAATCTTCATATAAATTGACAGAAAGCTATCAAATCTGAAGCAATCATGGCTTTATCTCAATTTCACAAAACAGTTTACCAAAATAAAACAACAAAAATTAAAGCAATCCTACCTCTTACTACATGTGTCAAAATAGAAGGCATTTGTTTTTCATTGTTGGACACTAATTTGGTTCTGTACCTGAATCTTCCACTGAAGTTCTATTTCAATCCCTTCAAAGTCCAGCATTTGTGGAGGTGGACCATAAGCTCTGGCTGGTTCTAACAAGCCAGAAAGTTTTTGGTGTAGGCCAAGTGATGGACAGTATATTAGCTGTCTGAAGACTAGCCTCGCTAAGTTTAGTGAGGCTCATTAACTCTTTGGCCACAGAGCAATAAATTTATCAGACATGACAACTCTCAAAGACTATCTATAAGATTAGAGGAACAATAACCTGCTTCAGTGGAAGGAATAACCACGATGACAAAACTACATATGCCTGAAATTCTGATACTTGTTGTTCAGTCATTTCAGTCGTGTCTGATTCTTCAGAGACAGAGAAGCAGAGAGAGAGATTAAGATTTCTTGATATCACCTTAACCTAAGTCCTTTGTGTTGTTACTTTAAGATTTTTTGGAGTTATGAGTTTTTTTCCCCTTAGCTTCACATCCCAAACACTATCTCTAGTCTCTTGGAATTTTTTTTATTAAGAATTCCAGATTATTACCCTTGCCATAGTGCTGATTAACAATTTTATCAACTGAAATAAGAAAAATGTTTTCAAATACTAACTCAACAATATCTTTCCTAGTTCCTTCAAAAGGACCAGATATCTGGAGTGGAGTACTAACCCATGGATGTTTTCTGGCAAAGATACTGGGGAGTTTTCCATTTCCTTCTCCAGCTCACTGTACTGATGAGGAAACTGAGGCAAACAGGGTTAAGTGATTTGCCCAGGGTGACACAGCTAGTAAGTATCTGAGGCCAGATTAGAACTCGGGAAGATGAGTCTTCCTGACTTCAGGTCCAGCACCCTATCCACTTCGCCACCTAGCTGCCCTGAAATACTGACATAAGTATACATAAATGGATCATTTCACAGCTCTTACTGAGTTATTTAAGTGTGCTGTTGCCTGAAATGAAGAACTGAAAACACAGCATAGGGACTCTAAAAGGAGAGAAATTAAGATAAGATTCTACTGACAGAGAATGTGATAAATTACCAAAAGAATGTGACAAATTACCAAGAGAGATGTGATTTTTAATATAGCCTCAACAACATGTTAATGTACAGTGGAAAACTGTACCAGATGGTATCCAAAGTAAATTATATAATGTATTAGAATTAAAAGTTATTTGAGTATTCAAGAAAAAAATATAGATACTTACCTTCCAGTATATTATTACACTTTTACCATCAGCACTCCACTCTCTCCAGATATCTGGTCCTTTTGAAGGAACTAGGAAAGATATTGTTAAGTTAGTATTTGAAAACATTTATCTTATTTCAGCTGATAAAATTGTTAATCAGCACTATGGCAAGGGTAATAATCTGGAATTCTTAATAAAAAAAATTCCAAGAGACTAGAGATAGTGTTTGGGATATGAAGCTAAGGGGAAAAAAACTCATAACTCCAAAAAATCTTAAAGTAACAACACAAAGGACTTAGGTTAAGGTGATATCAAGAAATCTTTATCTCTCTCTCTGCCTTTCTATCTCTGTCTGCACATACACACACACACACACACACACACACACACACACATGCACACAGTAGCTGATTTTTTATATATTATATATATCATATGCACAGTAGCTGATTTTTTTCTTCATTTCCACTATTCCTTCCTTGGAGCTGGAGATAAATTACCTAAGGAGCTCTCATTCCTTTTAGGGTACCTTGTGCAAGTTGTGTTTTTGCAAGCATAATTAGTTTTTGTGCCTGGCTACATTGCTAAGCTATTCCTTACATAAGGAAACAAAAACTCAATTAAGGTCTGTATTTGTTTTATAAGATATAATTGATTACATTACAAATCCTACTTGTTCATATACTATAGACGAAGTTCCTATTATTGGATAATTTTTGAGATTAATATATATGTGTGTATATAAATATATATTTCATGGTCACTTAATCACTCAACAAGCATTATTATGTATTTACTATGTGGCAAGTACTGGCAATACAAAGACAAAAAAGAAACAGTCCCTGCCCTTAAGCAGCTCATAGTCTGATAGGGAGATAAAATGTGTTTGTGTGTATATATGTATATGTGTGTGTGTGTGTGTGTGTGTGTACACACACACACACAAAATGTATACAAGACAATTTTGGTGGGCAAAGCACAAAGAAGGGAATCATGAAAGGCCTCGTGCATAAAGTGGTACATCTACAGAACTTCTCTAATATATACCTCCTTCCCTCCACTCACACAACCATCTCCCTGGCGTAGGCTCTCATTATTTCACACCTGGACAACTGCAGTGACCTTCGAGCTGGTCTCCCTGCTTCAAGTCTCTCCCCACTTCAATCCATCTTCCACTCAGTGGTTCCCTATTACATTCAGGCTCTGTGCAGTTTTTAGAGTCCTTTACAACTTAGCCACTTCCTACTTTTCCTACCTACACTTTACTCCCCTCCAAGCTGGAGCAAACGATCCAGCTACCTTGGCCTATCGGATCCTTGCACATGACATGCCCAACTCCATGGGTGTCTCATACCTGCAATACTCTCCCTCCTCACTTCCACTCCTGGCTTCCTCACCTCAAACCACAACTTACGTGGAGGACTCCCTGGTCTCTCATGGTTGTCTCTCCTCTTCCCTTCTACCACTGCTAATGTCTTCCCTCTGAGATTGGCTTCCATTTACACTGCATGGAACTTGCATGCCCATAGTTATTTGTATGTTATCTCCCTCATTAGAAATGTGAGCTCCTTGAGGGCAGGAACTGCATTTTTTAATTTCTTTGTATCCCCAGGCCTTAACACAAAGTCTGACATACAGTAAGTGCTTAATAAATGCTTACTGACTGCCATAAGCTGAGCTTTCAAGGAAATCAGAGACTCTAAGAAAAAAAAGAATAGAAAGTGAATTCTAGGAATGGAAGAGAGCCAGTGCAAAAGCAGAGAAGGGAGATGGAATGATGTGCATAAAGAACAGCAAGGCTAATTTGGCTGGACCATAAAGAGTCAAGAGATGGGAAGTATGATAAGACTGGAAAGGCAAGTTGGAACGAGGTTGTAAAAGATTTTAAATGCCAAAGAGGAGTGTGGATTTGATCCTAGAGGTTACAGGAAGTCACTCAAGTTTATAGAGAAGGGAATAACATGTAGGATTTATGTTTTAGGAATATTAATTACTTCCACTGCTATGAGGAAGATGGGCTGAAGAAGGGATACTTTAGGAAGGAAGATCAAGTAGAAGGCCAATGAAATAGTCCAGATGAGAGGTGATAAGGACCTGAACTATGGAGGTGACCATGTGAGGAAAGAAAGGGATGGATACAAGATATGCTGGGAAAATAAAATTCACAAGATTTGCAAACACACTATACATGTGGTAAAGAAGAGTGATGGTTTAAAGGGTAACTTGAAGTTTGAAAACCTGAGTGACTGAAAGGATAATGGTACCTTTGGCAGAAACAGGGTTCTCTGGAAGAAAAATGAGGTTCTGGGGAAAGATAATAAGTTCTTTACAGGACAAGCTGAGTTTAATGAACTTTCAGGATATGCAGTTTTAAATGCCAGTTTGTGATGGGGGTCTGGAGGCTGGGAGAGTAAGTCGTTCTGGATATACAGATCTGGGAGACCCTTGAATAAAGATGGTAATTAAAACTATGGGGGCTGATAATGTCACCAAGGGGGAATGCAGAGGAAGAAGAAAATTATTAAAAATAATTAATAAAGCCTTCATGTAGTTGTTCAAGAGGGAATCCTGCCCACCTCTCTGTGCCCCACCTCTAATTTCACATAAAATCTGGAAAGATGAATGATCCTTACTTGGAGAAATGCCTGGTTCCACACCAACCATGGAGAAAACAAACTCTATAAGATCTTTAAAATTCAAATCACACGTTTTTAATCCTGAATCTCAATACCAGGTCCCAAATATGAATTTTTAAAGATAGCAACTTTATTTAAGGACCAAGTCCTTAAATTACTCAAAGAACTTACTTCCTTCCATGGTTAAGTATTGCTTTTCATTACTCCATTTGCTCCATTTCCAAAAGTTCTCAGAAGAACAACGAATCCGGAAAGTGTACATAGTATATGGCATCAATTTGTCCACAGAAACACGATAACTAGAGGTTTCTAATCCTTTAACAGTGATGTTCCGCTGTTAAAAATTAATGGAGTTTTAAAAATTAACAAAGCTTTCTAAACTTTGTATTATATCAGACACCATAAACCTGTTATATGAGTACAAAGACAAAACCAAACAACTTACCTACTTTTTTCTAACCCTTACCTAGAGAAGCTGAGACATCTCACTAACAATGTATGATTTAGAATTAAGTCAGGGGAAGAGGCTCTGTTTCACCAATAAGCAAACATTCACTTATTAAGTACCCATGAGTAAGACTGGGGATACAAGGACAAAAATGAAAAATAGTCCTGGCTCTCAAAGACCTCATATGGACCTGGAAACATAATACTTCACATATTCATGTTAGAATTCAGTTTGAAAGCAGGCTAATATTATTCATTTAAGAATATTATTTCATTTAAGAAGCTGGAAAGGACACACTGTAAAGATTGAGTCCAATTCACTCAATTTATTTATGGGAAATTAAGGCTCACAGAGGTGTGGTCTGTGCCCCTTCCACCTTGCCTACAACTGGAGTAGCAGGAACTCAATAACTATTACTTTAAATAAATAAGCAAAGTTGGATGGAGAAGTACTAGTTTTAAGGATTTCTATGTCTAAACTACCTGTTGTATGTTAAAGAACTTCAATAAGTATTTTTATTTAATTTCTCAGATATCAGCAGGCTTTTGAATGCATGTTCTTGAGTGTATTCAACTGCAAAATTATTCATTCTGTATTATAGTCTTTAAGTTTCTAGTACACAGATCAAATCAAGGCTATAATCACTCATGAGCATTTGAAGATAATGCTCTATTTGTGGCCAGTTAGATCTTTTCTCAAGTCCACCTTTTCTTAATAAAAAAAAAAAAAAAAAAGATTTACATTTTATATGCCCCATATATTTATTTCTGGAATCCATTTGTAATAAATTTCTACATATAGCTCTGAATCAATCTGAATTTTTCTATGGAAAAATTATTTTAAAATTCAAGTATTTATTTGTATTTGTCATACAGATGGCCCCTGATCCTATTCCTACTTAGAAGCTTTGGTTATCCCCCCTTCTCTCTTCTGTTACTCATTAGCTTACTAATTAATTAATCTCACTGCTGAGAGTTGATCCTTAAAACATTGATTTATCTGCCACAATATCTAATATTATGATTGTACTTTAAAACATTGATTATGATACTGTAATGCTGAACACCAAAACATAAGGCTCTAAAATAGATTCCTTCAAAGTTCCTCCAACTAACCATACAAATTCAATTTTTGTGTCTTGCTTGAAATAAAATATTTCATTAAAAGAACTATTAAGTTTACAGGAAAAAACATACTTACCAATTCTTGCCCTGAATAAGGTGTATTAATTTCAATTTCACATAAAAGATTAATATTTGCGAAGTTGCCAGATAAGTGCCAATGGAGAATAATGGCAGTTGGATCAATGTCACTCACAATGAGTTTTGAAGGAGTATGAGGATAAACTGAAAATGGAAATTTAAAAAATCATTTTGTAATTATTTAAAGTGAAAAAAGCAACAGTACTACATTTTCTAATATGACAACGTAACAAAATAAACACATAATGAAATATCTATTAGTATTCCAGAAACATGGAATTCATTTGTTTCTACCTTTGATTACCACTGGAAACAAGAGGACCCTTTATTGCTAACACCATTATAAAAAAAAAACATTTTTTATTTATTTAACATGTGCAGGATAGTGTATTTGTTGCTGAAAACATTCAAAAGTAAAAGATATGAGTACTGCCTTCAAGAGACCTAAAGTCTGTTTGTAAAGACACACCATATATATAAAAATATAAACCACAACTCAAGGAAATCTATACTGAGTATTTTAGGTAACAAGCATTATGGGAGTTCAGAGGAAGTGTTCACTGAGAGTTAGGATGGTCACGGAGGTTTCACAGAAAAAGCAGATCTTCAAGGGAAGGATTTAAATGGAAAATAAGGCATTCCAAGAAGGTAGATAACATGAGAAAAAGCTGAAAGGTGAAAATATGATTAGTTCTTCTAGAGAATAACAGGTAAACCCCTTTGGTTAGGGTAGAAGGTTCATACAGCAAAAAAGTGGGAAATATGAGGAGAAGCAGATAAGATTATAGACATATAAGTCAGTCTTTTTATTTATGCTTAGTGACTTTGCCTTACCATGTCACTCTTGATCTCTATGGGATGCAGGGTGGTCACAAGGGAATGGATTAGAAACTAAAACAGGCTAGCTATAACCCATTTGCATACATAATATCTATTTTTCAATAAGCCCTTAGTATCTAAAAGCAAAGAATGATTCTGGGTCATTAAGAAACCATGAAATAACTTTGAAGGAGAGCAAATGTTGAGTTTTCACTATTGTTGATTATAAGCCAATTATTTAATTAATTAGAAGATATCTGTGAAATGTTCAGGCTTTAAGAACTTAGCTTTGATGAAAATTAAGTGAAAGGCAGAAAAAGACAGTAGGAATACATGTGCCCATTTGGGCACAGATTAACTTTTTTTTTGGCTAATATCAAGACAGATTAACAGTTTTAATGGTTTTAAATCTTCCCAAATGGTATATGAAGGGAGAGTGGGGGTAAGGTGGGGGAGGAGAGAGAAGGAGAAGATTCCTTTATTAAAGCGCACTAAGAATTTTATAAATATTATTTCACTTGACTAGGGCTCACTTGTATATCAAGAAAACAGGCCTGCTTACCAGCAAATGAATAGACTTCCACATACAAGTTTTACAGATAAATGATAACGTTAGAACCCTCAGAAAGATGACTGAGGATTAGTCTCTTAAATGTTTACATACAATATAATATTTTCTCTGTCATATAACAACACAGAGGGACCTCTGAAGAGAGACCTCACAAAAGGATCTGGTAAAATATCAACATATCTACTTATACAATTACACTGCATGACTACTGAAGTGTAAAATGACCAGGCCATTTATTTATGAACTATGAAAGATTTAGGAAGTATTGCATTTGGGAATAGAACACAAAAATAATACTTTCGTCAAAATCAAAAGCTGAGCAATACCACCCAAAAATGAGTATAATATTTTGTTACTTTGGGCTAGAATGATGAATAGGCTTGATGTATAAGTTCTACTTATTGATAAGCATTAGGTATACTCATCTCTGAGTACCGGACACAATGTTGGCAAGTAGATTACTGCTCAACTTGCCATTTTCACAACTATCATTCTCACAAAATGTTCAACATTACTAAAGAACATAATTAGCATAAAAGTCATTCCCAAAGGTACTTTTGATTGTTCTAAAAGTGTAGGTGATCCTTCTAAAATTACATAAAGAGCAGTTTACGTAGCACTCTTACCTCTTTGAGTTATATCAACTAAAATTACTGCTTCAGATCTACCCACAGGATTGCTAGCTTTCAAGGTGAAATTATATATTTCCTGACCAGCTATCATCTGAAAGATTAACTGATGGTTTTCATTCATGTGTTCTTCATCTCTACTGTATGTAACATTTCTTCCAGAAAATCTGTAAGTCAAAAAAAAAAAATTAATGCTATAGTCTGATGAAGAGCTTAGGAAAGTTATGGAAAAATTACCAAAAATTAGTTAAGAAGTAGTACAGAGAAAATTATAGTGGTTTTGGAGTCAGGAGACCTGGGTTTGAATTCCATCCTTGTTTACTCATCAGTGTGACCTTTGGTAAGTCACTTAACTTCTCCAGGTTCTAGTATCTCATCTGTAAAGTAAGGGAATTGGTTAAATGGCCTTTAAGGTCCCAACTCTAAACATACGATCCAATGATCCCAAGTTTGATTTTAACAGAAGTATGCACCTACCAATAAAGTTCCTCCTGCTTTCTTTCCATTTGGAAAATAAAATACTTTTTTAAAAAAATTTAGGACTCAGACATTTAAAAAATGATTATTTTTATTTAAAGATATTTTACAGAATGATTATATAATTTTAAATTCAAATAAAGCATATACAGTATATACAAAGCATATACAAATAAACTATATTCAGGTAAATGTCTTATAATACAATGTTTACAAATAACTGAATGCTGACCTAAAACTCATGCAAGAATTTATATCTTGGAAATAATTTTGAAAACACTGAGGGTTTGATATTAAAGATATTATAGGTATGATACTAAATACAGGGAAAATCACAGGTATTAGAATTTTAAAAAGACAAGAGAGAAGACATTTAGAAGACATTTCTAGCTACCAACATATAGATCTGCTGTCTTATCTCTATAAAATCTTTATAATGATCTATACACACATCAATAGAATCCTGAATGAAAATATGAGAAAGGAAGACAGAGGCTTTAGCAAACTACTTTGTACAAAAGACATCTTCAAGGTCACGCAGTTGATTAAAAAGTATAGAATATGCAAAGAATATGTGTTTGATTATAAAAAAAGCATTTAACAGAGGAAAACAAAGTTATAAAGATTATCTTTTAATGAACATATATTAAGACCATATAAGACTCAGACATATGTTAAGACCATATAGGTTTTCTAACAGATCTAACTACAGAAATAAATTTGTTCAATGATCCTCCACCAATATCAAGCAAGGCATTAAACAGGGCAATGAGTACTTGTCAAAGGTGTTTGGCTCTATCATAGTAGATGCTTTGTACAAAATCCAGTTGGATAAGGGATTTGTTAGAGATGGTGGTGTCCTCCACATGTTCCTATTTATGAATAATGTCCCGACAGCATCAAGTATCAGAGTACTATATCAAGTATCAGGTACTATAGTACCTCTTCACCAAATTCAAGACAAATCAAAAGAAAATGGCCTAAAATCCATATAGGAAAAATCAAATGGATGAAGAAAGTCTATGCTCAAATTGTAACATACAGCTGGATAAACAGTTCATTGAGTTAGTCCATCATTAAATCTAGTTTGTACAAGCAGTGCAGATAAACAATAAGGGAGGAGGAAGAGAACAGGCTGGACTTTATTTGGAAAACTGTGAAGCGTTTTCAATGATTCCAAAGTGCTGCTTGATATAAAAGAGAATTTTAAAAATATTGATATGCTTCTGATAAAACTATATTGCTATGAATCATGAAGACCACAACTTCTGAAGAAAATTGCATGTAGGCCACAGAACACTATTCTGGGAGAAGTATGCTAAAATACATTACCGGTGATAACTTATGAACAAGAAATGGAACAAAAAGATATCAAATATCCAGGAAATGTATGACTGGTAAAGGAGTACTTATCATTTCTGTTGAATTTAATTGGAAAAAATAGCTTTTTAAAATGGTCTATTAAAATGCTTTCTGTAAAAAGCTTTTATGAAGATAATTTTAAGATGTGTTAAAGCACAATGATAATGTGGAACACACAGAATAACTAATTACGTAGTAGTGAAAAAAAATGATGTTATTGAAAAGTTTTACAGACTAAAATCACTATATACAATAGGAACTCTATCAAAATCTAGGAGTCCTATGACCAAAGATATAAATTTTTATCATCAAGTTATAGATCTGATCCTCTTGAAATATAGATAATTTAAAAAAATGTATTCAACTCTTATTATAGTCCAGCACTGGAGATACACAAAGATGAAAAAGAACACAAGCACTGGCAGAAATACAAAGATTACAGTTTATTTCCTCATGGAGCTTATAGTTTGATAGGGCATATGTATACACAGATAACTATGTAACACAAAATAACTCATAAAAAGGAAGGGAGGGAGAGAAGGAAGGGAGGAAAAAAGGGAGGGAGGAAAGAAGAGAGGGGAGGGGAGGGAAGAAAAGGGAAGGGGGAATTCATTAAGTGGTGACTACGTGCCAGGCATATAGCTTTATAAATATCTTCTTTGATCCTCACAACCACCCTGGGAGGTAAGAGTTATTTTTTTAATCCCCATTTCATAACTGAGGAGTGCTATGTAAAGTTCATGAAGGGAAAATTAATCTTACTGACTTTGAGCAATCAGCTAAGGTTTTACTGAGAAGGTAGCATTTAACTGAGCTTTAAAGGTTGTGTAGGAATTCAAGTAGCAGGATGACTTTTCCACCAAGAACAGTAAGACCCAAGGGCACAGTAGTGAATGGTGGAGAAACAAAGGTTTCTGTTCCTAGTGTACGTGGTAGTCCAATATGGCTGAAGCACAGAGCATATCACAGAGAAGGATACGACACAAAGGTGGAAAGGTAAGGTGGCACAAGACCGTAGAAGTTAATGAACCTCTCAAAACTTATCTAGGCTTATCTTTAGACAACAGACTCAATGTCTGATGTTGTGCCTTTACCATTCAGTATGTTCTGAAAGGGCTTTTGTTTTTACTGACAAGCCCTCTAGAATGCCAGGTTACTGCCATACCACAGTGAAGCAACAGAGTAGGATTTTAGTGAAAGACTATTACTCATTAACATAATTTTAAAAGTTAGTATGTTTAAATAGTGCATGAATGGATAATTTTTTTTGGTGACAAGGGCTTTTCTATTCAAAACTGCTCATGCCTCTGGGAATTTTCCTTGAAATCAGGGATTGCTTTTTGCCTTTCTTTGCATCTCCAATGCTTAACCTAATCTGTGGCATATAGCAAGCACTTAATAAATGCATGCTAACTCTGAGTATGCATACAAAAATATAAGATGTGATCATTTAAAAAAAAAAGTAATGGGTTGGATTCCATAAGCAACAGACGTCAGACTAGTTCATAGTTACCCACTGCTTAGATATAGTTGAATATCATCAAAGCTTAATTATTCATGTGTGAATTTTTCTATTTTGTTGATTATCTGATACTAATTGTTAACTTTAACACAAAGAGTTTTCCCTTACACAAACAAAGCACACTGCCAGGCAACCTCTCTTACAATCAGATGATTTATGCTCATGGAAAACTTAACTTAATATAAGCCTAAAATAAGAAAGGCTTTTAAATCTTTCATCTCATTTTATCTTCATAACTCTGTAAGCTGGCACAGGTAGGTACCATTATTCCCATTTTATAGACAAGGAAACCTGGTGAGGTGGCAACTTTTTCAGAGCTACACCACAAAAAAATTATGTATTCAAAAACCATATTACTTCCATTTTTTTGCAACATCGTAGGTAGTTCATTAAAGCAAATATGAAGCACTTAACATATAAATAAGTAATTATTAGATTAATAATTTCATTGGTGGGAATACTTCTTTCTTAAATTTAGGTTGTAAAATCCCTACACCTCCAACTCCTACTCCACTCTAACAACTGCCTTTTCATGTATTCTTGTGGCCAAAACAATCTCCTGGAAATCAACCCTCTGATGAGTCAGTCCTCTATGAGCAAATATGCAATCTATTCCTAAAGCCTTTCAAGCTTGGTAGATTCTAACAGAAAGAATACTCTATTGGAATACTTTCAAGAACCTGATGTCATCTTAGCTGTCACCATGTCACCTCTATACTCCAGGCTTCCCTATCACCCCCCAGGATCAAATTCAAAATCCTGTTAGGCATTCAAAGCTCTTGACAACCTACCCCCCTCCCCACCTAGCCTTCTAATCTTTTTATACTCTATACACCACTATGGATTCTTTGATCTAGTGACACTGGCCTCCGCACTGTTGCATAAACAAGGCTCTCAATCTCTCAGCTCTGGCTAGGCAATTTTTCTGGCTGTCCTCTATGCCTAGGATGTCTCTGCATATCTACCTCCTAGCTTCTCCAACTTCCTTTTACCTATAGTGCCTGCCCTCTGCTAATTATTTCCTATTTTTCTTGGATATATTTATCTTGAATATAACTTATTTGTACATGTTTTCTTGTCTCCTCCACTGGATGTGAGCTTGAGGATAAGAACTATCTTTTGCTTTTCTTTGTATCTCGAGCTAAGCACAGTGCGCCTTGCACATAGTAGGTGCTTATTTAATGCTGTCTGACCAACCTCAGTCATTACAAGACTATATGTGTGTATGCATATGTATGTACGTGTATTATGTGTATATGCACACACAATACATATACATACACATATATAAAAATAAATACACACATATTCAGGTCATAGATTAAGGGTTCAAAGGGACCTAGGAGATCTAGTCCAACTCTGACATCACAGTGATCAGGAAACTGAGGCCTGGAAAGGCTAAGCAACTTGTCCAAGATCATATAAATAGTAAGTGGCAGAGTCAGGATTTGAACTCAAGTTCTTTCACTCTTTTCAGTGGCCTTAAGCAATCATGAAATGAGTAGATTGTTCTGTGTTAACCATTTCTTCTCAGGTGTTGCTGTAGTGACATAAAACTGAAAACTAAGGGAATGCCCATCAACTGAGGAGTGGCTGAGTAAGTTATGGTTCGTGAATGCAGTGAAGTACTACTGGGACGCAAAAAAGAGAAGTTAGAGGATTCCAAAAAGACATGAGAAGACTTAAAGGAAAAGGTACAGAGTGAAGTAAGCAGAACCAGAAGAATAATTTATAGTATAACATCAATATATAAATGTGAACAATTCAAAAAACTTAGAAATAATGAAGTAGAGTCAAGAGAACAATTTATATAACAGCACTGTAAAAATAACTTTGAAAGCTATAAGAACTATGAACAATACAATGACCATCTGTGATTTCAAAGGACCAGTGATGAAACATGCTATCCATTTCAGAAAGTTAAAGGATTTAGGGTGCAGAATGAGACATGCATACATATGTGTGTACATGTGTGCATACATGCATATGTGTGTGTATGTATACAGACATATACATGAAGGAATAAATATACATGAGGAATCTGTTTTGCTTCACTGTGCATATTTTTTACTCTACCTTTTTTTTTCCAATGGGGGGAGAGAGGAAAAAAAAGTTCATGTGATACTTAATTTATATCTTATAATTTTTAAATTTTGAAATCTAAAATGGTTCAAAGGAGGCAGGCCTGTACAACCTGTAGCCCGCCAAAGGATTTCCAGTGGCCCATGAAAAATGTAGAGGAAAACATCCTCTATATTTTATGCGGGCCACCTGAAATCCTTTGGTGTGCCCATAGGTGGTCCATGCACTACAGGGTGTGCAGGCCTGGAATAAGGGAATCAAATGATTAAATTATTCTTAATATTAACAGTGTTAAACCTTTTAATAATAAATCTTACCTTTCATACAGTATATAATTTGTATCACGAGGGCCAACCAACCCAGTTGGTCTTCCTGGATTCCAACTACATATAATTTCTTTCAAATCCCGTGTTTCACAGTTCAGCTTTCTAGGGATATCAGGTGGATCTAACAAAAAGAAAAACCTATAGGTATCATGTCTGAAAAAGTATACTTAAAACAAAATATCTTAATAAATGTGTTTTATTTAGTAACTAATTTTTGTTCAAATTCCAAAAATGGAAAATGCCATTCCCATTTCAGTATTAGTTAATTATATAATTGTATTCAAAGAACTCAAGAATTACATTTACTGACGTAGTATAGTTTTTTTTTTTTCAGTTTCTTTTTATGTCTTCCTCCATTAAAATATATTCCTTGAGGGCAGGGACTGTCTTTCCTGTATTCTCAGCTCTAGTAAGACTTGATTTGATTCGACTTTTTTCATAGTTCATTAAACTAAAAATTATTTTAAAATACTAAAGTGCTATTTTTGTTGTTGTTCAGTTTTCATTCTAACACTTCATGACTCCATCTGAGGCTTTCTTTTCAGAGATACTAGAGTGGTTTGCCACTTCCTTCTCCAGCGCATTTTACAGATGATGAAACTAAGGCAAATAGGGTTAAGTGACTTGCCCAGAGTCAGTAAGAGCTAGTAAGTAAGAGCTAGCCCAGAGCTAGTAAGTGCCCTGAGGCCATCTTTGAATTCAGGTCTTCCTGACTGCAGGCCCTGCACTCTATCCAGTGTACCATCTGGCTGCCCACCACTACTCTTAATTTGTGATAATAACAATAACATTGAGGTAGGATTTGAACTCAGGTCTCCTGACTCCAACTCCAGCCTCTAATAAGTATTCAATGCATATGATCATGTAGGGAATTAGTGATTATGATGACAATGATGATCATAACTACCATAGCTGGTCAGCATGAAACTAAACACTACCACCATTTTGTAAGAAGAAGATCAACACATAAATTCACCCCCCGCCCAGTTCAACATAAAAAAAAAACAACTATGAAGTAAAATATGAATGAAGTAAACTATGCAAAGTATTTGATAAACGCATCTATCTTCTCCCAGTTAATACGACAGACGCAGAACATGGTTAGAAGTAACAAAAATGAAGAACAGGTATGCTCTACTCTTTAGGCTTAAGGGTTTGTGTTCTGTCCCCTCCCTAGAAGAAAAAACAAACTACTTATTCATTTTTTCCAGGAAGGAAACCTATAGTGTATAACGTCTCATTTATCCAGAACATTTATCTGACAACCACAACTATTCAGAACACACAGTAAGCAAAGGTCTTTTGCAGTTAAAATAAATAATACAAAATCCACACAGTAAGTTAATACCCTTTACTCATAAATAAATGTTCCTTAAGCCCTTACTCTGAATCTACTTATATTTACTTTAAACAAAATATTCTAATAAGCTTGATCTGGTTTCTCAGACTACAATAGATTAGACACAGATAATTTGATGATACGGGAAGAGGAACTGTTGGAAAGGCATTAATAAAAAGCAACAATTGTGAAACGATAGCTATAAGAGAGTTAGGAGAAGGAAAACTACAAAAAGTAGCTTTTTTTTTAAGGCAACCTAGGAGAAATTAGTGACAAGGTTACTTTTTTATCTAAATGGCCCCTTTCATTAGATTACAACACAGTATCCACGATGATGAAGAAATCATTAAAAATGTTAAATTACTTCATTTCCCCTCTAACTTTTAGTTTATTCTTTTCACTCTTATTTTGATTGTTCTAACATATTACCTGCATCAGTACTGTCTTAAACTATTCATTCTTGGAGGGCAGGGCACAGATTATCCATCAATTTTGAGCTACAGCAGGTTTTAGAGGTCATGTAGTCCAACCCTACCATTTTATGTATAAGAAAACCAAGAACCAAAATGGTGATGTCCCATAATTAAGCAGAAGAGCTAGAACCTGTCCAGGACTTCTGAGTTCAGTTCTAACTCTTCTGTCACTGTATCCATCATAACATACATTTACTATTCTCTTTTGAAAAAGACAGGGACACATATGAGGTACTGTCAGAATTTCCCGATATTTTTTTTAATTTTCATAAAAAAAAATCCCTTTATGTGAAATAGTTCATTTCCTGAGGGCATCAGATAAATGAGGTAATAATATAAGTTGGTTTAGAGTAGACTGAACATACTGTTAAAAACTCCATCTATTGTAGCAATTAGATGCTACAATGTGTATTAAAGAAAGATCACAAATTATTCTGATTCAGATTAGGAGGAAAATAAGTAAACATTCTGAAGTTTTTATATTTTCATTAATATTAAGAAACAAATAAGGAGAAACAGGATACACTCAGCAAAGAGAATTATAGAACTTGTTAAGTAGCACTAACACTTTAACAAACTAAACAAATGAGGTTAGCAGAAATACATTTTAGTTTTACATAACTTACATCCTGCAAATACAACTGTTCCATACATATATGACTTTGTTGTAAAAACCACATTTGTTCCACTACTTGGAGAAACAGCAATATTGTTGATCTCGATTGCAACACTTTTATTATCAAGGCGAATAAGAGAACATCTTTCACTTCCAAATTGTGCAGTTAAGACAGGTTCCTCAACAACACAACAAAACGTCATATTTGAACCTACTGGTACTACTTTGTCTTGAGGAAAAACCTCATAATTTTCTTTTATGGGAGGTCCTAGGAAGAAAAGAAACACACAAAGTTTAATAGATAGATAGAAATTCTCTATCAAAGTATCTTCTGTAATGGAAAAGTAAGTATTAATATAGATGTAAAATAAGTCTGAACTGTCACATCAAAAATCAATGTATTAATTTTCTTCTTTTTTGAAAATTATTTATAAATTCAGGTAACACCTGAAAAATATAAAAAAATTTACTGTATCATAAAATGTTTTTTCTTTTAACTTTCAGACCAGTATTTTCCTACAATGGATAAAGAGATATGACAAATGAAATAAGTTTCATTACAGCAGTTAGCATCTCAATGAAGACGTAGAGTATTTGTAAAACTTAAGTGTTTCAAAACACTACATTTCGTGTTGAACCCTGCCCCAGTCATGTGATAAGCAGGCTCTGCTAATTACCTTAAATAGAATACATGATTTACCTGAAATATTTCTAAGTGGACTCCATTCACTCCACTCTTTTTGACCAGAAAAATGAAGTTCATCAATGTAACATCTAATTTTCACATAATGTGGAGTACATTCCAAAGGTATATGTGAGGTCCAACTCCAGTGATGGAGTGAATCCTTACCAATCAGAGTTGTGTTAAGTGTTGCCTAAAAAAAGAGGGGAAAAAAATCAGATTTCAAAGTAGTGACAATCATCTCTTTAAGGACAGAAAAAGAAAGCCTATTTTACACTGTGCAATCATCTAATATTTAATAGTTTAAGGTTAGTGGTCTTCCATTGCCTTACACTGGAATCACAGATTTTCAAAAAGTGTGAACATGTTAAAATTATACCTGTCTCATTACTTCCAAATTCTACCCCAGTTCCAAGGACCTGGAATTATGGGATAATTAAACACACTGCTGAAGAATTCCACAACCTAAAATGTTTGAACACCACTGGTCTGGATGATAAACAAAACAGATGTTTTCTGTTTCACAGGAAGAAAAGAATATGAATCAGCTCACAAAACCTGAAGATCAAAGAATACAATGAATTCAATTCAACAAATATTTATTAAGTCCCTTCTATATGTTAAGTCTGATAGGGATGCAAGAGTAACAATAATACCACTGGCCCAAGGGGACTGACGGAACCCCACCACCGAGATAACACAGATCTGGGTTCATAGACTTCTATTATACTAAACCACCTTGTCTGGGATCTGAGGGGCTGATTTCAATCAACCCTGATTGCTTAATTCTCCTTGGAGAGCCGCATATATGTTCAAGACTCATCTCAGTTTGTTTGCTTTATTTTGGCACTAAACTTGCTGTCCTAACAGTAGGCAAATCTAAACCTCTACGTGGCGAGTTTTATGTGTTGCATGAATACCTAGAGGTCTTTTAGATATTTTATCAGACCTCTATCCATATTGTCCAATGTACTGACAGGGGATGCATCAGAGAAACAAGGGTACTTCAGGGATACAGTTCGGTCTCTCACCTGAGGGTAAGAGGGTGACTTCCAGCTTACCCCAAGTTCCTGAACTCTGTTGGGAGAGTCCCATGCCAGTCGGCACTGAATGAGGAATCTAGAATTCTTGAACTCAGAGTCCTAGAAACATCCATCTCAGGATTTCTCTTCAGTTACCTGGACTCAAGAAAAGAAATAAAAGCAGACAAGGGAGGTAGGGCTTTGAGATCCAGTTTTAGGTTTACCTAGGCATCCATGTTGGGGCCAGAAGCCATTGCTTTCTAGGTGAGGGAAGGGAAGGGAAGAAATTCCCTGCAACTCACCCTCTCTTTGCCCAGGGGAGGTCTCAAGGGAGAACTGTCAGAATCCTAAGCCACATATTTATAATAGAGGAAGAGAGAAGAAGAGAAAGTTGTCTGTTCTGGCAGCTCATCTGAAATTAGAGTTTCTCCCTGAGAAGGAATGCTCATCTTCTTTTTTCTTTTCCTCTATATTATAATTTTAATAGTTTGACTTCCATTTAAAATTTTTGTTTAAGTTGGGATGAGCCCTAATTAGCAACATGAAAGTTTAGAACCTAAGATAAACTAAGGAGAATGTCATTTGTTTGCTGAATTTGTTTATCTTTGTATTTGAGGGTATTTTACTAACTCTTAACAAAGGACTTACTTTGGAGATTGTCTAAAAACTGTGCAGTGGACTACAGGTCCAGAGAGAAGTTCTCATAACTGGAAATACGAACAAATGTGCCAAATGCACACCAGCTGATTTGCTGAGGACAGCAAATATGTAACTGGGGGAAAAGTAATGGGGATACAGCCGACTCCATGGAGCTGAGCTGTCCTATCTGTTTCTAAGTTCACAAATACTCAGTACTGAAATACTGTGGGATGATGGTCCCTTGTTGGCAGCTGAGGCAGGAAGAGTTACCCATTTAGGGGACTTTCAAAGAAAGACAACTTCCACCTTTCCTCTCTTCTTCCCATGTTCTGAACCCTGTGGCTTAGGATTCTGACAGCTCTCCCTTGGAACTTCTCGTAGGGATGGCAGGGAATGTCTTCCCTTTCCCCCTCACCGGGAAGCCATGGCTCCTGCTCCTCTGTAGGGGCCCAAGTGAATCTACGACTGGACCATGAAACTCTAGATTCCCCCTTCTGCTGTTTCTTTTCTTGTACCAAAATAACTGAATAGAGATCCTGAGATGGATGTTTCTAGCTTTGGAGGCACCCTAAGTTCAAGTGTTCCTCAGTCAGTGCAAGTGGTGTTTTCTGCGGCTACTGCAACGCTTCTTGAAGAAGGTGACCACTGACAGAAGAATGAGCCTAAGTTGTGGACACTGAGATAGTTGTTCAGATGGTGAAAGCCAAGGTAAATGTGAAATAAATGGCTGTTCAGCAGTCCTAAGAAGTGTCTCATGCTTTAACGTTTTTAAAGATCAACCTCTTTGGAGAATATAACAGGAGTTATAGATTGGTGTCTGATGTTACTGTTTCAAGGTAGAGTTAAGTCTTTCTCAGCATGTCCTATGAGTCTTGTATTTTAAGCATTTCTTTTGTGTGACGAAAATAAATGGTGATCACTATACCAGATCTACCCTGCTTCCCTAAGCAATAGAGTGTGCCTGGAGTTTATTTATGACAAAGACAGACATCAGGAGATAACTCCCAACTCCAGGAAACAGAGATCAATGATTATTGATTTTGATGTTTAATGAGCACTGAACACCCTAGACCTATGGCATGTTTCAGGTCTATTCTTGAATGTTAGAATCAGAACCAACAGAATGTAAGCTGTTCGAGGACACAGACTGTCCTGTCTCAGTATATCCAATATCCAGCACCATGCTTAGCACATGACAGGTGATTAATAAATGCTTGTCAAATAAATGAATGACTCCACATTCAGCACTCTGTCCATTATGCCATACTGCTTCTAGTATTAATTAATAAGAAGGCCCCGAACACAGAGTCTGCGGGTCATAGTACATACCAATGCTCAGAGCAGAGCTGTGGAAGTCTTTTGTGTGAACCTCAGGGTCATAGGCTTTGGGCCTTTTTTTTAACTCTCACACCATCCTTTAGGGCCGACCCAAAATACTGCCTCTGCAGGGCCTTTCCCAAGTATGCTAACCTGAAGTACCCTTCCTTTAGTCTGAATTCCTGGGGAAATTATTACATTAAATATATAAAAACCCCTTTCTGCTTTCACTAAAAACTATTCATTATATTTTTAATGAGAACAACCTGAATACGGTTGATTATTTTCAAAAATTTTGGTTTAATATTTTATGATACAGGGATCCAAAGGTATGATTCTAAGCAGAGTTTATTCTGATCATTTATTGGTTTTAAGGTCATCATTGCTCCAATTTTTTTTGAAAGCTCCACGTGAAAGAAGTGTATCATTGGCCACTGAAACTGCTCTCTCCTAATTACCAATGATCTCTTTAATTGACAAGTCTGTTTTTTTTTAAGTTTTCATTCTTCTTGACCCATGTGTTGTATCTAACACTGATGATCACTCTCTCCTTATGGATAATTTGCATAACGAATACTCTCTCCTGCTTTGCCTCCTATTTCATGAAATCACTTTCTCTCAGTCTCCTCTGCTAGTTCATTATCCACATCAGGCCCCTTGGTGGGTATTCCCCAATACTCTGTTTTAGGTCCTCTACTCTTTTTTCTATATACTTGCTATCTTAGTGACTTCAACAGTGCCATGGGCTTAAGTACCTCCTCTACATAGAAGACTTCCAGCTCTATAAAAGGCACCCCAATGTCTACCCAAGTCTCTCTCCTCAACTCCTATCCCACATCACCAACTGCTTACTGGACATTTTAAACTGGATGTCCTGGGGATCTTTCAAACTAAATATGTACAAAACAGAACTCATCTTTCCCCCCAAACACACTCTGCCTTTTTTATTTCTGTCAGAAGCACAACCATCTTTTCCCACCACCCCAGTTCAGCCTTAACATTATCTTGAACTCCTTACTCTCCCTCAACCCACAAATCCAATCAGATGCCAAATCTTGCCATTTCTACCTCTAAAACACTTCTTGCATCTCACCTCTTTTTTCTAACTCACAAAACTTTCACTTTAGTTCAGGCCCTTATCTAAACTAAGTAAAAAAATCCCCTAATTAGTCTCCCTGCCTCAAATTTCTCACCACTCTAGACCATACTATATAATTCTACCAAGGTGATTTTCCTTAAACATAGATCTGACTATGTGACTCCCCTGCTCAATGCAAGCCAGTGGCTTCCCATTACATCTCCTCTGTTTAGCATTTAAAGTCTTACACAACCTGACCTCAGATGACCTTTCCAATTTGACTGGACATTATTCCACCTTCCCACTTCATGATATGGCCAAACTGACCTTCTTTTTGTTCCTCACAAACAAAACTGCATCTCACTTTTGCACTGGTCATCCCTCAAGCCTGGAATGCACTTTCCCTCAGTGGATCCCTTTCTTCCTTGAAGATTCAGTTCAAGTACCACCATGTACATTAAGTCTTTCCTGATCCTTACTCCTCTCCAAATGCTAGGACTCAACCTCCCTATCTTGCTTATTTTATGTTTATTCTGTATACAATAATATATCATCACTTTGCCTCCCCTGATATAAGTTCATTCTTTCAATTTGGGTCCCCAGCACTTAGCTTTTAAATCCTTCACAAGCTATCTTTTCCATCACCTCTAACATGAAGATTTCCCTTACCCATCCGGCTATTAGTCCCTTCCCCCTAAAATTACCTTGTAATTAGCTACTTTGTATTCATTCTATTTATATTTATTCCACACAAATTCCTATAAGTTCTCTCCTCTGTTAGTAGAGATTATTTCATTCATTGTATTTATGTCCCCTGTGTGTACCATAGTGCCTGGCATGTAGTAATAAGTTAATAAATACTTGTTGACTAGCTGTCCCTTTGTTTCTATGATTACTTAGAATGACTGAATAAATGAATTTCACTCTCACCCATTGCAAATAAGTAGAAACAAATATGTGTGTATGTGCACGCACGCACGTATGATACAGAATTCTTATTTTTATATTATACATAAGCATGTGTGGATGCATGCATAGAATAAAAGATATGTAACAATCCTTCAAGGCCTACATTAAATGTTTCTTCCAGAAGACATTCTTTAATTCCTACAGGTAGAAGTACTACCTCTATTCTCTGAACACAGCACTCTATCTTTCTTTTATTGGACATTCACATTTCACCTTCTGTTGTAGCATTATCTCCCCCATCATACTGTAAGCCCTACAAGAGTAGGGTCATTCATTCTTTTTTGGTCCCTGCAGCACTTGGCATTGTCACTCAACAGGTAGTCAAAAATGTATAGCAGATCCCCAAATATTGGTAGAATGAATGAGGGAGGTGTATATATATGTACACACAGACACACACACAAATACTACATATAATGTAGCAAAGCTGTCCAAATAGGAAATGATATGGTAGATAAAGTGACTGTGTAACATATTAATTCTTCTATTTACTATCATAGAGTTCAATGACTAAATACACAATCCATTAGTATACTACAAAGCTATCAAACAACATAAATAGCATTATTAAAGAAGGAGCAAGAGACTAAGGAAAAAATATATTACTTGGTACAGGCCCTACAGTTTTTCATTACTACCAAAATAAAGCAAAATGGAAAGAAGCCAATTGAAAATGACTCACAGGGAAATCATTCCAAAAAGGTATAAAAACTGTAAAGTAAATTATGATATACCAGGACATTTTTTTTTCTTAATTACAGGATCACAGATTCAGAACTAGAAGGGACTTCAAAGGTTATCCAGTTCAATTACCTCATTTGAAACATGATTAAACTTATGCCAAGAAGGGTTAAGTGATTTGCTTAAGGTCCAAGAATATGAATTACCTTGGAAAGTTACCTAATCTATCCCCCAAATACAAAAATTCAATAGTATAACAATGCCACAAGAACACTGAATGTTATGAAAATCGAACTTCTCATATTACTTAGGAAGAAGAAAGTAACATTTTTTTAAGAAGGCAAGAAACTTACTATTGTTGCAACTTCCATGTCTTCTTTATATAGAACAACAATTTCCCAGGTGACATTTGAGTGACGGGGCAAAACAGAGCCATTGTCATTCCACTTTAGGTGCAATGTAGAGGTTGAAAAATCAGCCGTCAAATTAAAAATCTGTAACATGGCTGGAACTAAGGCTTTTGAAAATAAAAACAATACATTACTAACTTGTTAAAATAATGAACTTCACAGTTAATACAGAAACTTACTCTTCATAAAAATTAAAAAAGGAAGACCTAATATTTAAATAGAAAATTCTCACCAAAATTATACATATACATACATACATGTGGCTATGCATATTAAAATATGTATATATATATACATCTAAATGTATGTATGTGTGTATATATATATTTTTTTAACTTTTACTTTTTTGGACTGGACCTATGATTTCGTTTGTGTAGAAGGCACTGAGAAGTTAATGATACATAAATGAAATTTGAACCCAGGTTTTCTTGACTCCAAGGCCTCCTCTTTATCATAATGCCAAGCCAACAGATACATATCCACACACATATCAATGAAACCACATGTTTATTAAAATAAATCCACATGAATATTATCAAAGCTGTTCCCCAACTATAAACTGGTTATATTTCAGAAGTTCATTGGTAAATTATCTGTGTGGAATTTGTGCATTTTCCACGAAAGTAATATCCTAATACTGGATAAGAAACCAGGTGAGCCTACAAGCACCTATATAAAATAAGTTTAATGTAGCTGAATTATGTTAAAAATATTGTTTTGGGTTTTGATTATTGGAAGTCATAGAGTCACATTGTTTCAGAAGAAGAAGTTTTTCTCCTTTTAGTGATAGACAAAATTTCAAAATGGACTGTTAGTCTCTGGCATTTTCCCATCTCATTGTCCATACCTTCTCTCAGGCCTTAGTACCATTATCTGACCTCATTCGTGACACTTTTATCTTCCCAGTGTGATATTCCTACCTTAGGGAGGATGTGTCTACCCTACTCTCCCAAATACTTTATGCTTTTTAAAAAAAAAGTATGCCTTTTCCCTATATAACCATATGAAATTCTCTGTTACCTTAAGAAACGAGTAATTTGTCTAAATTATTTCAAGTTAATATATGAATTACAGATAAGGTCTTAACCCTTATCTAGAAGCATATTTTAACTTCAACAGATTTCTAATTGGTAGAATTTATACAGTGATTTACATTTACAAGACACTTTGTTTTACATGTTATTTCATTTGGTCTAGTAATACGAGAGAATGTATTTTTGAGGAGGCAGGCCTACCTAAATGTGTATCTCTGGTATCAGCTTTTCAGAGTTTCTTCTCCTCCAATTTTTAATACAAAGATTCTATACAGATTTTGTGTTTTTCAAAACTACTTACATTGATAAATGGCACAATGGAGGAACAAAGACCAGTATTTTTAATTTACTGTATTCATGATTTTGTCACTGGTCTATATTAAAACCAATAACAAAATCAATTACATTATCATGAATATTACTAGAGCTTAAAATATCATTTTAGGTATTAAAGCCAAAAGGTTTATGTCTCAAATATTTAAATTTTCGAGTTGTTTATCTAATTTCTAAATATATTAAATTGCATTTCTATTTCATTTTAAGTCATAATGGTAACCGGCCAATTAAAGTATTCTGAAGATGGCACTTTATGTTAGTTAAAATAACAGAGTCAAGTCGAGTGAAGTCAAAGAACCACCACAAAAGTATCCGGCAGACTTTGGAAGATCATTTTTATTCTGGTTTCAAGCCAACGAATTTCCTGTTAGCTATTCCTGAAAAAGGTATCAAATATACTCCTCATTTGCAAGTGATTAAGTCCGCAAATCCTCTTTTAGCTCAGATATAAAATTCCTATAACTATCTACCACTTTCTAAAGAGATCCAATAATGTAGTGGAAAGAAGACTGGTTTAGCTCACAAGACTTGAGTTCTGAGTCCTTGGCTCTGACAACTAGATATGACTTGGGCAAATTATATTAATTCTCTTTTGACTGACTTTGAGCGCTCAGCTTGTAAAAGGAGAGAATGAGGGAGATCTTAGATAACATCTAAGGCCTTTTTTCAGTTCTAAAAATTCTATGATTCTATGTTTAAGCCTGCTGATTATCTTGGAGAAAAGACCCCAACAAGTCACAATTTCTATACTAAGGAAAATAAGAGATACTTAAAACTATGAAAACTCAACTGATTAGAAAGATTTCATGTATTGCAAGTAAATACAATAAAACATCACTAATTCAAACTAACTAGGGGGTAAAAGATGATGTCTTACTAGCACATTATTTGAAGAATATTTTAAAGAAAACTGGAATAGATTATCTATAACGTAATCTGCAACTCTAATTCCAGTGATCCCATGGATAGTTCTATTATTTTTCAGGACAGTAATGAAACTAGGTTCCATTACATTCCAACATAGGCCTTTTTAACAAATGGATGAGACTTATTTGTAAAAAACACTTTATGAAACGGAGGATGTTTAAAACACTTTGTTCAAATATTTTAAACATTTCCTTTACCATTCATATGATCTGCTAATTTTCATCATATATGAAGTATATCCTAAACACAGGAAAACTTCAGCCAAACTCTATTCAAATCAATCACTTAATCAAGTATTAATTGAATGTCTACTATGTTCCTAGTACTGAGCTATTTCAGTTCCTGAAATGCAAGACTAGATTTATGAACACAAGAAATTTATAATCTAATTAAGATTATGAAGCACACACAATGCAATGAGAAAAATTAAATACGAAACTGATTTTGACTAACTCAATTCAATAGGAGTTTAGAAAAGAGATAAATCAGTAAAGAGTAAAAAGGTTCACAGAAGAAATTAAACTTCAAAACATATAGATATTAGATTTTTAAAAAACCAATTCTTTTTAGCTATAATGACGGAAGGAGGAGATTGAAAGGACTAGGACCATCATGGAGAGTGAGAAGAGGATACTAAAAAAGGAAGAGACGGTAGAGCTGCCTAGCTCTTGTCTTGTTTTTATTCTCTCCACCAAGGAGAATGGCATGTTAACTTGAAATGACAGGAAAAAATGTCTGATCAGGGAGCTGATACCCAAGACAAATAGGGAGACTGAAAAGAATCTTTTGATGTACTCAACTCACTACTAAACTACATCCTAGTTTACTTTAAAACTGGTAGGTATGACTGCTGGGCCAATTATGACAGGTCTTCGAAAGATCATGGAGAAAGGGGCAGTTCCACAGGATTAGAGAAGAAGAACTGATACTGCAAACAACAGTTCGATGAAATCTGACTGGGTGGCAGGACTACATGGTCTCTGGAGTCCTTTCCAACTCGGAGGTTCTATGATAAGTTGGAAAATCAGGAGGGATGTCACTCCAAGAGGGATAAATAGTTTAGACTTTTGTCGGAGAGCGAGAGAGTAAGTTCGACAAATATGGGGGTAGTTGTAAAGCCACTCTGACTTGTGAAGAGTTAATACTAAGAAGCATTCTAAAAGTTGTATAAGTAGCATACAACAAGATCAGAAAAAAATGAAAGCTAGATGGAAATTTTATAGCTTACTCCCTCATTGTACAGAAGAAATTCGTATCCAAGTTAAATGAGTTGTCCTGAGTCACAGTTAGTTAGCGGCAAGGCCAGGACTAGAATGCTCATCATTAACTCCCAAAGCAGTACTCTTTTCGCTATATCACTACAGGAGTTTGAATTTAATGTTACTCAATAGTGAGTCAAAATATAGTCATAAGCAGGGAATGGTGTGATAAGATTGCTTCAGAAAAGTTAGTTTGGCAGTACAAAGAAAGAGAATTTGGAGGGAAAAGAATGATGAGAGGGAGATCGGGTAGGAAGGCATTTCAATAATTCTGACTATCTGTTCCCCAATATTTTTCAAAGGATATGTCAGTTTTTAGAAGAAATGAAAGTTCTCGATACCCTACGCTTTACACGTTAAAGTGGGCTTTTAAAAAAAATTGTAACATTGGTCGACTCATTATTTATTGGGTCATCTAGCCTCTTATAAAATAAGCTTAGGTTTTCTACCTCCTGCAAATTCTGCAGCTTTATGTTTGGCCACAGGCAAAATTTCAATGAAGAATGTATGAAAGGACTTGTAAGATGTTCAACCTAATTGAAACTGGGAAGGAAGACTTCTATGAATTTGACTTTGCTTTCAATATGCTTAAGACATATGCATAAGACAATGAAATGTGAAATTACCAAGGCCATATATATCTATTAAAATAGATATATATTTATAAAAATCTATTAAAATAACTTTTTCCGCCAAAAATGTCTTCACTATTTGAAAAGATATAAAAGGAGTGATGTGTACTCAAGTTAAGTATAAGAACAAGCAAAATGTGAGAAGTCAAAAGGGAGGCCTGTACAAAATATTAAAAGAAATCTGAGAATAAGAGGAGGAATCACTTTAAGCTTTGAGGCAGGGGAGGAGGGAGGAACAATCAAGGGAAGTAGAAGGTGGTAGCAGGGTTTGGCCTTGAAAGACGAGAAGGATTTCAATAGATCAAAGATACCACAGACACTACGGACTGCCCTGTACAAATGCATAGATATTTTACCACAAAAATGAAATGCATTGGGAGCTCCTTCAGTACCAATTTTCAAAATGTCAACAGTTTTTGCAATTGCATGTTATCTTTGCACTTCTCTACATCTGGAACAAGAACTTAAGATCTTAGGTTTAGATCTTTGTGGCAATAAAAATTATCCAACATACAATAAGAGAGACTGAGGCAGGACTCTGAGCCAATGATATTTTATTAAAAGGACATGGTCCCCTCTAATGAAGTGGACTTCAGATCTTCCTCATGATCTGAGATGCCCCCTTCTTCCAGGGCCCTAATTTTATAGGGTTAGATATCTAAACATTCAAGAATGGGCATATCAAATACAGAATAATTCCATTGGTTGACATATGATGCATAGACTAAAATAAGCAAAAATGATCTATCAGCAGGGTCAAAAATCGGGTGAAGAAGAGAATATCTCCACTGACTAGGTGGTCATAAGATGGTTGCCTACTCATGCTGGACAAGAGAGAATGGTTCGGAGGTACAAAAATAATTGGGAGACTTTCCATGTAGTTGAGTCACCTCTGTCACACTGGGCTTGGTCACTGTGACGAGGAAAAACAAGGGTGAAGGGCCTCCAGCTGGCTTGCTATGATTATGCAAGTGATCTTACCATCTGCAGCTCACAGCTCTGGGGCCAAATATACACAACTTATAATCACTATCCCTAGCACATCACATTGATTAATACTGATTGGAATACAGTAGGGGTCCTCAATGGATAAACTTTCTCAGCCAGAAAGGACCTGAGGGGCCATCAGGTCCAAGCCCTTCATTTCATAGATGAGGAAACTGAGGCCCAGAGCAGGAACATAACTTGTCCAAGGTCACAGAGGTCACAAGACATAGAACTGGGAGGTGAACCTAGGTGCTCTGACTGTAAACTTCGGGGTCATTATGTTGTACCATGCTGCTGATGTTGCAGCTTTCTAAAAAGTAAAATTTTCAGCTGAAGTAGCAATCTGATCAAAACTCTGCTCGAGTGTTAAAACAAAACCAGTTTAAACCAGGTGTTCATTTATCTACATCAAAGGTTCTTCACTTTTCTTACGTCACATACACAGGGGTCAGGTTGGTGGTACAACGGATAGAGGTCCAGGCCTAGAGTCTGAAAGACCTGAGTTCAAATGTCACCTCAGACACACACTAGCTTTGAAATCAAATGACAGTTACTAGGCATTATTCCATAAAAAGGTAAAGCAATCAAGGGCAGGTAGGTGGTGCAGTAGATAGAGCACCAGCCCTGGAGTCAGGAGAACCTGAGTTCAAATCCAGCCATAAACACTTGACACTTACTAGCTGTGTGACTCTGGGCAAGTCAATTAACTCCGACCGCCTCATCAAAAAAAAAAAAAAAAAAAAGGAAAGCAATCATATGTTGCTCATCAAATCATATTTAATGATTGCATTAATAAATCAAGGGAATTCACAGGATCATAGATCTGGAGCTAGTAGATCTTGAAAGGCCATCTAGTTCCCTTATTTTACAGATGAGAATACTGACTCCAAAGCAATAAAGGTGGGATTTGAACAAAGGTCCTCTGAATCCCATTCATTGCTCATTCCACTATATGATTCATTTGAAGTATTACGTAAGCTCAGAATTTAAGAGGACATTGATAAATTAGAGGAGGGTAACAAGATCAGTGGCAGGGGACCTCTGCAAATAATTCCACATGAAAAACAAATTTTAAAAACTGAGGATATTTAGTATGGAGCAAAGAAGATTTAGGGAAAACAATACCTATCAAAGAATACTTTAACTATTGTCACAAAAAAGTAAACTTATTCCTTGCTGTTGTAATACATAAAAAATGTAATATTAAACAAACAAGTGGAAGTTTTTAAAATGCATAGAAGAGAAGGAAGTTTAGAGGCAAACACAGACAAGTGGGACAGCTTTGGAACTAATGTGCCAAATTTAGAATATACTTTTTTTTAAAAAGCTATAAAGAGATTCATAGTTTCATATTTGTATATGAATGTATATACACTCTTTTTCTTTGATTTTTTGCACATGGAAATGTCCAAGTTTGTTGATGTTTATCACGTTTGGAATAACAAAACCAAACCAAAAAAACCCTAGAACTTTCTTGAAAGAAGCAGTTAATATTAAGAATTCAGAGAAACATGAACTGAATCAAACAGAACAGCACAAAGCAGAATCAAGAGAACATGCACAAGAAACAGTACTATAAAGACATCAAAACAAAGCAATGAAATGACCAAACTGTCTCTAGAGGCATGATAATGAAACAAAATTGATGATGACTTGTTACCTCAAACTGCTATAGTGTGCCTGCCTCTACCACCATACCATCCTATCCCCCTGGCTAAATTTTGTTTCAACTTGCTGTTGGACATAACACCAAATGAGACAACTTTGTTAGAATTGTGTCCAAAATAAAAGTAAATTACCTCTAAGCTCTACTAGAAACAAAGTACATGAACTTCTGAGCTTAGATTTTTTTACGTCTATTTGAACCAGTACATATATGCCCAGTTTGATTTCTTAATGATTCTAAGGTATTTGAAGGATAGTTTAGATTGTGAGAATGAACCTTTTGATAAATTAAACATTACTACAGTACCGTAATGACCTTTTCCTACCAGCTAGAAAAGCAAAAGATAGCAATATCCCACTAAAAACATTATCTTTATTTAAAATGAATTTTTCTTTAAAAGGGATACTTACAAACACTTCTTTCATTTAGGATAAATTTAGTAACAGAATTCCCAGAAGCATGCATGGAACTTATTTTTATTTCGTGATCAGCAAGTGAAAGAGCTGGAATCTCAAAACGTGTTTTCTCTGTCTGAATACATGGATAAGAACTGCAATATAAGAAAGATCAGTTGAATTAAATAAAGAAAGTTGGCAACAAAATCTTCGGAGAGAATGAATAACACTGGAAATATTTTTAGGAACTTTCTGTATACTAAGGAAACCAAGAACTTGAGTAATTTTAGTTCTAGGCCTAGTATTTCTAGTATTATTTTTTTTTAAATCCCTTGGTTAGGGGACTTATTAGTCATAATGCCTACTCTTCAACAAAAGAAAAAAAAATAACAGAGCCAAGTTTTTGACAGCAAGGAAGAACTTACATCAGAGAGGTATATAGTAGGTTTTATGCAGGGTCTCCTGCAGTTATTTAATGAACATTAAATTCACAATAACAAAAACCCTCATCACATCAATCCAATTCAACATTAAAAAACCTTGTGATCACAATAATAGGAAGTTAGCAAGTATATCAAATCAAATACTCAATAATAAATGCCTACCATAAACACAGAACTATATGGTACATTTTGGAATATACAGAAGAACTGAAAGGAAGATGTTTTGAGGATGGTTTAAATACCAAATTAACAGTATTTACTCGTCATATTTTTCTGTGATTTCTCACAATAAAAGATGTTATTTTAGAACTATTTTAACTTTTTAATATATAAATGTATGCATTCACATTAATTTTATTTGTATAATCGCGATAATTAGCATTCAATTACAAGTCTGGACCCCCAAAACATTATCCGGCAGATTGTGAACACAGATGCCCCAGGAGTCCACTGAGCTGCAATCCAGGATGACTATGGTAGTGTAGACATTAGAGTTGAGATTTATCGATTAAATAAGCTATCCTAGAATAAATAAACTCTTAATCTGTTCAACTCTGCAATTAAAGGGCCAGAACTCCATATGGTAGAAGCTCTAAGAATTCTAAGCTGCATATTATGCCAAGTAGAATAAGGCTGTTAAGCTACTGTGAAAGAAAAAAAAAACCCAATATTCAAACAGATCAACTCCATAAATCAATCAACAAATATCTATTAAGTGTCAACTACATGTCAGGCACTGTGCTAGGCTCTGGGAATTTAGAACGACAACAATGAAACATGCCCTGCGCTCATGGACCTTACGTGTTACTATGGAAGACAATATATACGTACCGAAGTACATACATACAAAATAAATACAGAGTAATTTGGGGGGAGAGATGGAAGGGAGAGGCATTAACAGTGGTGGAAACCAAAAAGGCATTATGTAAAAGGTAGCATTTGAGCAAGGCTCTGAGAGAAACTAAGGATTCTAAGATGTGGACGTGAGAAGGGAAAGCATTCTAGTTATGAGGAATAGCCAGTGTAAAAGTATAGAGAGAAGAGCTGGCATTTCAGAGTTGAAGAACAGCAAAACATCAAGTTTAGCTGAACCAAAGAATCCATGAGAGTGAATACTTATGTTAGGGGTAGAAATGTAGGCTGGAGCCTGGGGCCCCAACAGTCTTGAAAGATGACTGTATCACACTGCCCTAAAACCACGTTTAACATTCCACCCTGGTCATCTTGCCAGGGCAGATCCTTCCCCTGCCAACCTCCCCCCACCCCAAACGGGAAGCATAATCAAATAAATACTGACACTGCAAGTCCCCATTGACTCCACTCACCATCCTAATGGCTTCCTAAGCTAACGTATCCTTTTATACTTGGTAACACCATGAGAATATATACTTCTTGGGGACAGGGAAGCTAATTTTTGTATTCATAATCTCAGGGCTTAGCACACAACTTGGCAAACAATAAATGCTTTTTAATTCATTCATTTATTATTAGTTATATGGCCACTGTTAACATGTTACAACCCTTTTTAACTTTGGTTTTTCCTTCTGTAAATTGGGAGGCTTTATACTTAAACCTACCTTACAATTATTCTGAAAAACTATGCTCTTTATATGCCAAAAAGTGTTAAATAAATAAAAGCTATTATTATATCATCTTGAGGACAGAGACAGGACAAGATGCCTGTTTTCACAGCTTCCTTCCTCATAGGAGAAGTTGAAGTAGCTCTGAATCATGCTTCTACCAACTCCTGAACATTAACTACGATTTCCCTCCAATTTTCCTGGATTGGTGTCAGATTCCCAGATATAGGTTCACCTCTGTCATCTGCCATTTCTGAGAATGAAGTGTTCCATATAAATGAATTTTCCAGATTACTCAAACATACTCTTTTAAGGTACACCACATTTTTTTTAAAGTTTTGACAAATATTTCTAAATACATCCCGTAGTATACACTGAACACCGTTATTCTAGCACTGGACCTGGACCTGAAGGACTTCAATCTCACCTAAGCCCAGCTACTTATCACCTGTATAACATTGGCGAGTCACACTTTACTTCTCTGAGACCCAGTTTCCTATTTGTAAAATGGAGATAAACGACGGTACTGAGAAGGGTCATTACAACTCTCAATCCTATAGTTCAAGTTCAACTTTTTCTTAATAACTCAGGTTTAACATTTAGCACTGTACAGAAGTACAAAGGTAAATATCACTGCTTAATACCATATTAAATAATCCTGGACTGCTATCTTTTCAGAGTTTCTTTGTACCCACTAATATATCTTTACTTTTTCAAAAAGAACTTGAGACTCAAATTTCACATAAAATCATCAGTTGTAAATGGAAAGCTGAAAGAAAACATCTTCAGAGGGCAATCAGACCTTAGAAATAGCCTGACAATTTGATGAATCCTAGCTTGGGGATAGAAAATCAATATGGGCTTAAAAAGGAAAGTTTGTTCCTTTGTGTGGCTCTAGGGGGCACAATATTGCATACTTAAAACCAAAATAGGAGGATTTGGTTGAATTTAACATTTTTTGGTAGGCATACATGGGAAAAGTTTTAGAAAAGAATCTATCTAGTTAACAATTAAGCCCAGAGTCTAAAATTAACTTCTCTCAGTAAAAAGGAAAATACTAAAGCAAAAAAAAGAAAAGTATCTCCTTTCCAGAACAAAAAGGGTTTAACATCTAAAGAAGAGAAGAAGCATAATTCTAGGGGAGATATTTCCACCAAAGTTCACTGACAGAAATGATATTATCTTCTTTAGAAATGACTGAACAAGAAAAATCTCACCAAAATATATTTAAATGTCAGTGAGAAAGGTATTCATCCAGTTGTATTATACAGTAAAACAAGTGTACATTTTTCTACTTTTTTCACAAAATTAATAATTTTCAAGTTTTTTAAAATTTTCACTTGTTTTAAGAAAATTAAAAACATACCTGTTTATAATACAAATTTCATAAGTAGTACCATGGTTTATTCTAGAGGAGGCTTCCCAGGAACAGTCCCATTCCTTTAAGTTATGGGTTATACATTTTAAATCATGAGGAACCCCTGGTGAACAAAAGTAATAATATATAATTATTTACATAATTATTATTTCAATGTGCAGTAATAAAAGGGTAGCATATAAGAGTATTTCAGCTATGTGACTGGTATACACAGAATATGTGTCACACACACGCCTACAAAAGTATCATTTCCAGGTATACGAAGAAGAATGCCTTCTGTTTGTTTTGTTGTTCCATCTCTCTTACTTATTTCCTGGGCAAGGATTGGGAAGTAACTAGAAAGCTGAAAGTTTGCGAAAGGTCAAAAAAAAATGAGTTGGTGTATCTCAAGAAGAAGGACTTCTATCAACACCAACTATAATGGCAAAGAGCAAGGATAATGAGGGTTGGGCGGATTGAATGCCTAGATTTTTACACAATATGTTAAGTTAAAAAGGAGAGATGCATTTTGTTTAAGTTTACAAAATGTTTTGCCAGAGAAACAAACGGAAAATAACAAATGTGTTATAATTTTCCACAGGCAACTAAGTAACTGCTATCCATAGCAAAAATCATTTGAGGATTCAATGTGTAAGAATGGTAATAAAATAGTAAGTAGTCAGATACTATGCAATGAGAACATCAGTTACCCAAAGAAAATAGCAATAGTAGCATAAGTAAAACTCCCTTTTCCTATGCTCTAGGTAAAAATGTAGATACTCCTGTGACCAAATATTTGATTTCTTTCCTACATAAGGGTTGAATGGATTTTCATTTTGTAAGACCAAGTTACAGAGAGATCAGTGCAAAAAAGAGAACAAATTAACAAAAGGCTATTTAATCACTTTCCTTGAAGATGACACAGGACTTGATAAACTATCAAAATATTACAAAATCAAGACAGGGAGCTGTGTAATTAAAATGTTATTTATAAATCTAAGGCTCAAAATATCTATACTAGAGGTATTCAAATTAGATGGTCTTCACATTTCAATGAGCTGTGATTTTGCAGTGAGGGGTAACTTCCTTCATTGAGGAAGATGACAACTCCTTTGACTTAACAGTCTTTCAGAGTGGCTATGATTGAAAAATCCATCACCATGTGGCCAAATTGGTTATGTGTCACTGAAGAATTATTGATACATGTTCTTCGCCAGGACCATACTCAAAAGCCTTTCCAACTTAGCAAGACTTGCCAGAGCTTGTGCTCCCTTCCATTGGTAACAACCTTTGAGAATCCAGGGTCTTCTCCTTGACAGAATAAGGCACTAAAATATAACCTTAGTGAATGGTCTTAAATACATTATTTTTTTTTTAAATACAGGGCAGATGGGGACAAGGGAGAGCTGAAGAGACAGATGGAGAAAATTAACAAAATAGTTTTAAAAACTTTTGCTTAGTTGAAACATTAAATAACTTGATAGCTAAAATGCTCAATAAATAGTCCAGGTTATTTCTGAGTAATAGCATTAGATTTTAATCAATTTCCTAATTCACACTTACCTCTTTTCTGGCCATGTGCTTGGTTCACTAAATATAAAAAAATAACAGATGACAGCCATTGAAACTTTGAACTATTCTTCATCCTTTTATTTTCCCCCATTTTTGATAATAATCTCAAATAAAAATAAACTTCCATTTTTGACACACATCAGTCAAACCTAAAATTCAAAAGAAAACATTTATTTTAAAACAGCATGCACTGTAACAGAATCATTTTTAGGCAGATCTACAAAAGAATTGTTATTAAATATATAAACACTAAGATCCACCTACAATGTATTGTTAAGAAATCAGAAGCTATCAAGGTAATTCCCTAATTCAATATATTAATCATTCTGTATGAAAACAATCTGTGACTCTAGTTTGACTTTGGTACAATCCATTCTCAAAATATTATGAAACTGGAAGAATTAAATGCAATTCAACAAACATCTGCTGAGCACTTACCATACCAAAAGTGTTGTATTTTGTTGTTGAGTATTGGATAGAAAGATAAACAAAATATAATTCTTACCCCCTCAGGAATTTTACGGTGTAGTAGGTAAGCTAAAAATGTTATAATATAATGCAAAATAGTAACTTAAGAGCAAAGGAGAAGGTGTAAAGTACTCCAGAGAAACCATGAAATAATCTAAAAGCAGGGATAACAAACAGAATAAAATCATTAAAGCTTGGGGAGCATCAGAAACGACTCCAGTCTCTAGAAGAAACTATAGTGTGGCAACTGATTTTATATAAATAAGAATATAATAATTTATATAAAGAAGAAAAATAATAAAATTTTATATAAATAAGTATTTCCAAGCGTAGTCAGGCATAGGGGATAAAGGGTCAAGAAGATCTGAGCTAAAGTCTTGAACCCAACACATATTAGATGTATGACCAAGGGCACATTTAGTCATCCAATGCCCCTAGACAACCTTCTGAGATTATTACATGGGGAATTTCTTACACCAATGAAATCACAATTTTGGATGATGGGGTGGGGGGGAAAGCATCCAAAATATTTCACAAAGCATTTTTTTCCTCTCAAAGAATAAACACAACTTATACATAAAAGTTACCTTTTATGTGCTACTCACATATCTTCTCTATTACTATTGTAGTTTATTGATTATCTATACCAAGGTTAATCTCTTCTTTGTATCTCTTAAACGAATGTTATAGTTTGCTGTTTTTTTCTTAACTTGTGCTGCCTAATTTCAGGAGTTCTACTTAAAACAAATGAAAAGCCCAAAGCAAGCTGGATGTGGTGGCATATCCTTTCTCCTTGGTGGCAAAGATGGGGGATGGGGGTGTTTGAGGATGGTGAATTTCTTGTGTTCAGGAGTTCTTGGCTAGAGTAGGACTAAACCTAATCAGGTGTCTGCATTATGTCCAGTACCACATGTGATAATGGGGGTTGAAGTGGGATTAGAAAGGGAGCAGTGCTGGACTGTTTGTAGCAAAACAACAACAACAACCAACCACCACCACAAACACACAGCAAACCTATTTACTCTGGTATCTGGATTGTTTCAACACAGTGTACACATCCTAGACATTGTGAAAAGCCATTGTAGACAAGTCAAAATCAGTCATATGATAAAAAATTTGGCCTAATAATGTATACCAAAACCAATAATCACTTGACTGTTAATCTGACTCAGTGGTAATACAAAAACAGTGCCCATTTAGATTTCATGTTTTCAATACAAATATTTTCTTCTACTATTGCCCATTAGAGATAAATGGAAAAATTTTGTAAGTTTAAAATGAAATAAATGCAAAATGTATACCAATGTAAACCAATAAATAAAATAAACACCCATAAATCTAATTTGAGTACCAAAGCCCAAATGTAGATGAAATGCAAATGAAGTGCTTATCAATAACTTGAGCTTATTTTTAGAAATACTGTTGTGCAGGGGATACTATTAAATTTTTAATAGTTTCTATGATACTAGCAAAGAATTTAAAGACAATACTCAAATTTTAACTTGAGTAATGAAATAATTCCAAAATAGTTATTTATGCAAGTGAACCAGTAAAGAAAAAAGTTGAGTTACTTTAGTAATCTATTATATCCAATATTGTTCCTAGTTATAGACAGAAAACAATACCATCATCACTAAATAAACTGCTCATTATATTGTTAAATTCAAATAAAATCAAGCTGAAAATAAGACTGTTTTTAGTCCGACCTGTCATTTGATAACATTAGGTGTAGGCATAAACTTTTAATTTAAAATTTTAAAATATTTTCCTTTAAAAAATAAGTATTACTTGAAGTGAAAGATTATAACGTAAAATGACAATTTTCCCACATTAGTTTAACTCCTACAGACAAAGACAATGAGGGCCTTATAAACTGGGATTGGAAGCAAGGCCTGCTGACCTCTAGTGTAACACTCTTCAAAGGAAGTTAGTAGTAGACTAATACATTCTGCAGGATGTCCCAAGTCTCTTGCTCATCATTCTGAATAACAAAGGTCTGGCTACTGAACTTCTACTGGGAGGGGAGGAAAAAGCTTCCCCTAAATAAGCAAAAGCTAAATATTATAATTCTTCACATAGGAAAAATCAAGTAGATGTGACATTCAGTTGGATGGGCAGCCCATTGAACTGGTCCATTAATATGTACACTAGGAGAGTTATTTCATATGAAAATGATCTATGCCCAGAACTAAACAGAAGAGAGAAGACTCCACTTTATTTGGTAAACGACATGGTACTTATGTTGACTCCAACAATTTCCCTGAAACAAACCTTCACTTTTAAACACCAGTACTGTTCTGATTAGGGACACTAGGTGGTGCCATAGTGCACAGAGTACTGGGCCAGAAGTCAAAAGACTGCTCTTTTTGAGTTCAAATCTGATCTCAGACACTACTAGTTGTGTGACCCTGGCTGGGCAAGTTACTTAACCCTGTCTGTCTCAGTTTCCTCATCTGTAAAATGAACTAGAGAAGGAAATGGCAAACCACTCCAGTAACTCTGCCCCTTCCCCCCCCCAAAAAAACAAAACAAAACCAAATGGGGTCACAAAGTGTCAGACATGATTGAAACAACTGAACAACAACGACAACAACGTTGTTTTGGTCATGATACACGGCTGTGAATCACAGACTATCACAGTCTCTGAGGACTCAAAACCATGGGCTGCCCAAAGAGTGACAGAGATATCCATGGTGGTCACAAAAGGGTTGCAGCAATCCATCTCCCATTCCATACCGTTGCACAGACTGTCTTGTACCTGGAATGTACTCCCTCATCTCCTGCTCCTAAAAACCTTAGGGCATCTTTCAAAGCTCAACCCAAGTGCCACTTCTTACAGGCTACCCCTTTAAGATCCTCTTAGCTGTTAGTATTATTTCTCTCTTCAAATTATCTTGTACTCATCTTCATCTGTGTTGTATCCCTCCAGTTGAATGTTATCTCCCTGAAAACAAGGAGTTTTAATTTCTGTTTTTGTATGCCCAGAGCCTAGCTGAGTGCCATGCACATAGAAAAGTGATTAAAATAAAGATTTGAATGAAGAATAAAAGCAGACACATACAGCACCAAGTTCAAATGGGTAAGATTTTATCTTCTAGGATTTCATGCTACTATTCTCTAAATTATGGATATCCAAATTAAAGAGCTGTTTGGATCTCATTAAAAAAGAATTCAGTTGTATTAGTTTCAAGTAAATACAAGATTTTAAAACTAACAGATATTTTACTAGTAAATTTCTTCTCAATGATAACTACAATATCCTCTTGTAATGACTATAAATAAGAATGGGAATTAACATGCCAACTGATTTTACAGAAATGCACGCCATAAAAATATTTCAGGGTGAGAGAAAGTAATTCTATGTCTTTAACAATAAACATAATTTACTTACAAAAGGTCTTCTACTTTTTGTGTGACCAGCAGTTTTCAATTCCTGCTGTTAGGGAATACGTATGGGTAGCATCAGTTAACCAGTACCAAAAGGATCACAGGATGACAGATCTAGAACTATAAGGGACCTCAGGAATCTCCTCCCACATCCCTTTCATTTTACATATAAGAAAACTGAAGGTCAAGGAGGTTGATGGACTTTTCTAAGGCCACAGAAGCAATAAGCGTTAGAGGAACCCAGGTTCTTTAATGGGAGTACTAGTGTTCTTTCCTTGGACTTGGGGAAAGACAAGCAAAAGACTCAGGAATCACACTGGAGGAGGTAGTAAGGATCAAGGGTGCACCATAAAACCATAGATTTAAATCTGGAAGGCCTACACAAAGATTATCTAATCCAACCCCATAATTTTACAAATGAGAAAACTGAGGTCCTACAAGGTTAAATGGTTTGTCCAAATTCATACAGGTAGAATGGTAGAGCTGGGATAGAAACCCAGGTCCTATGACTCTAAATCCAGCAATCCTGCCCCACAATGCCCTCACACATGTGGCACCAGATGTGAAAAAAACCAGAGTAACCAAGACCCACTGTAGAGTACTAGATATTCTAGTTAGTAGGCCTATAGCACTGAAAATAAGTGAAGAAACCCCAGACTACAGTCAAGTAGCAGGATTCAAAATAAATGACCCCAAATTATCAGCATTCCTATTATCATTCCTACTAACAAAAATGAGGAAGAAAAAAGGAAATTACTTTCAACATATCTATAAATTTATATAGTATCTAAGAATTAACCTATCAAGTGCTTAGCACAGTACCTGGCACATGGTAGGTGCTTAATAAATGTTTACTGATTGAAGACACATGCAAAATTTGTTTAAACAAAATTACAAAATGTTCTTTACAGAAATAAAAAGAAACAAATAATTGGAGAGCTATATAAGCCTAGTTCAAATGGCATCTGAGATGTCTTCCAATTCTGTGATTGTCATATACACAGTAAATTCTAGATAAATAATATGAATCAAATAAAATAATACAAATATTTTGTAAATTAAAAAAAAACTTTATTTATAAACATAAGGCATCACTATCATTAGATGCAATCCCATGTTTTTTATAGAGGTAACTTTTCTACTTTTCAAAACTTCAAAATGAATTTTTTTTAATAATATCTCTCATCAATGTATGTTTTAAAACAAAGTACTTTCACCAACTTTTTCATTCCTTCCTTTTTTGACAAAAATACTCTCACCAATTCTGGAGCAGCCTAAACAATTTTTTCCCCAA